GCTTCCTGTTTCTAAGCTGATTCACTGCTCTTAATCTATTACCTATCAACAAAGATATCAGCAAAGCTACTGGCAGGCAGGGCCCCGGCATGTCCTGGAAAGAGTTGAGAGTACCATATGCCCTTGAGCCTGGACCCAGCACATATCAGTTAGAGTTTGCTGCATTTTGTACACACACATCCTTATCAGGCTTCGGAGACAGCAGATGCAGTCTTGAAGGGGGGGAGGTGGTGGACGTTTTGGTTCGGATGATTGTGGTAGGCATGGTGATGAAGACGCAGGCAGTTGAATATGTTAGAGATAAACAATTTTACTCCTGACTTGTTCAGGCAAACACCATCTGCCTTAAAAAGATGTCTGCGGTCCCAGAAAAAGTTAAAATTGTCAATAAAATGGACAGAATGGTCAGTACAGGCAGTTGAAAGCCATGTGTAAGGGAACATAAACCTTCAATGCAAGGCGAGCAGTGAGTGTAAATACAGTGAATAAATACACAATTTGAGACTTATTCATTTAAAGTACACGTTTTATTGCAAAGAGAAATACAAAATATAAAACAATAATAATAATATGTACACTATACATTCACAGCATAGAGAGTTTTCTTCCTCTGCAAAGCCAACGGTTGACATTCCCACAAGGTGTCTCTGTTGTTCTCAGTCTGTCATTCTCTAGAAACTTCACCAAGGTCTCCAAATGGAGGAGGGAGAGTTTGGTGGGTGGCCCCCCCTCTGTGCAGGGTGTGGAGGGGACCTGAGTGTGAGGAAAGGGGGGCAGTGGAGGGAAGCAGGGCCCGAGAGAGGGGGCGAGAAACTGAAGAAGGAGGTGTTGCAAGACCGAGGTGATAGGCTGGGGGGGAAGGAGAAGTGAGAGGCAAATGACGGGAAAGGAGGAGAGGTGGCGTATGTGGAGAAGGAGGGTGAGAGCCAGGGGGAGGGAGGGGGTGACAGGTAGTCGTGGCAAGGTGTGGAGCAGGCGAGAGGCTGGAACGTGGAGTGGGAAGGAAATTTAGGAGACTCTTCTCTCCTCTCAGATGTGCAAATGAACTCCCCGGATAATCCATCTGGTGCTTTGGTCACGTCTGTCAATCTGGGGTTAAACTCTGCTGTGATGGTGTTGGGCTGCTGGCTCTCTGTGTGATGCTTGAGACCCTCGATCAGGCTTCTCCTCTGTGCCGGGGGGATTCTGTTCATGTAGCTGGTCAGCTGAGCCACACACTGCTGAAAACCTGCACCCTCTATGGTGACGAGAGCAGGAGCAATGGATTCTGGGTGATGGAGAGATGCCACAGGAGTCCTCATTTGACTAGAGTCTGCAGCAAATACACCAAAGGGAGGGATACAACTGGTTAGATTTGTTGCAGAGAATAATGTTTTCCACAAAAAATGTCACAAATGTTTTTGTTTGATTTACCCTTTCTGTGGTTCTTCCCGTCTGTCCATGTCTGAACATATTCCACAGCCAAGTCAAGAATCTCTGCTTTCTCTATTTTAGGATTCTGAAGCCGCTGTAAGTGATAACAGCCAAACAGAGGGGAGAAATGCAATTGGTTATTGAAAAGTCATGATTATTTCGGATATTGAAGGCTGGGTGTGATTTGGTTAATATGACTCACGGGATCAGACGTGTGCTTCAACAGCAAACTTCTCAGTTCACCTAGACTTTGATTTATTCGATCTCTTCTTTTCTTTTCCACAACGGGTTTCAGAACCTGGAGAGAAACAAACCACATTGTGTGAGTATGGATATTAAAATAGTATCCTTTATTTTATTGCATTTTACTTAAAGCATGCAAACAATAAAACCCAAAAGCAGCAATAATAAAATCAAATGAATTGAAACAAGAAATATATTGTAAGCTAATACAAGTAAACACGCCAACAAATAAAAAAAATATAAACTAATTAACAAAACTTCGAAGTGGGAGAGATTCACATATTCATGTTATTGAGTTCAGCTATTGATAAGAAAAATATGGATTGCCAGGTTGTAATAATCTTATTGGTTATCATTAGGGTAATTTTTTTGTAATTCACAAAAGAATATAAATAAATAAAATAAGATAAAATGTTTTTACAAACAAACGAATTTAAAAGAAAACATGCAATAAAAACATACATATAAATCAAATGTTAGTTATTTTTTATAAATGACCTGTCAACCCCAAACTAGTTTTCATTAATGCCTGTTACATAAAGTATTATTAAATGATAATTAGCATGAAAAAAAACGTGTTAATGGGGGCCTTAGAAGAAAAACATTAATTAAATAAGTAATATTATTTATAAGTTCTTACCCTTTTCTTACTCTTCCCATCCTCCAGACTTGTGTTCTGTAGTTTCCTGGTCATGTTGCAGAGTTGGGTCCTCACGTCCTGACTGAAGGCTGAAGCGGCTTAAACAGCCTCCTGGCGCGTGAGCATGGGTATAAGTAGAGCTCGTGCTGCCTCTGATTGGCTGACAAGTGAGTGACGACACCTAAACGAAAATGCTCTCTAACGTTTTCATGGCCCGTGGATAAATTCGAAACTATGCACGTTAAACACTAATCAGAAAGTGGGGTGTCTCAAAGTTTCAAGTTAAAAGTATATTATTCAAAGTTAATTGAATAATAACCAATATCTAAGGAAATCCTATTACCAGTAACATATACTTTTAAAGGTTAATATACCATCTGACTGGCAGTATGCTGGATCTAATCATCTAAATCACTCATTAATAGTTTATTTTAAATGTAACAAACACTTATTTCATTTAGTATTAGCCTATAACCATCTTATTGACATGTGATATTGAAACTTTAGTCTGGAGAATATCTTTGCATCCATTAATATAATTATGCTAAATGTGTGTTGTAAGCTTTCTGGTGACTTTTGACGCCTTCCAAAGGTGAGGCCCTGGGAAACTTGCTTCTTTCTCGTGGGAACAGAAATGAAGTGAGAAAGTGAGCAGCTATGAGCACTTTTTATGATGTGTGAGACATCCACACGTTGAATAAGTGATGAGAAAAAATACCAAATGAGGTCCTAATGAATAATCAAGTCCGTTTCAATAAAACAGCACTGGTTCCAAAAGCACATATTTGAACTGCAAACACAATAGGCCTACTTTAATTTAAGCAGATAAAATCAAAATGAATGTAGGCTGATGAACTAGAATGGGGTTCCACGGGGCCAAAAGGGAGCAGGTCCGTCTGTTTCTGCTGAAGTGTGAGGATGATCATTACACATGAGTGTTAAGTGTGCTGTGCCTCGGGTCAGCTTGATACCTCATGTTTGGACTTCACACGAGATCCCTTTAAAATCAAAGCAGATGTTGAACTGAGTGCATGTTCCCAGCGAAGCCCTCCGTTTGATTCCAGCTCTTTTGTCACCGACACACCCCAAAGGTCACGATATTAGAAGGGAACGGTCCATTTCTCCGCAACCAAAGGGCACGTTTATTTCCACACTATCCAATTAGTTTCCATCACAGGCTCAGGCGAGCACGTTATTGGGGCTTATTAAGGGGGCGGGTGCACGTGGCTTAAATAATTTGCTCAAAAGTGTAATATTAAAATATATGGAGGTACAATAATCCAAGTTAGCTGAACTTAATAACTATTCCGTGAGTTTGTCATCGTTTTTAGCCAAAATCTCAACTCTTATGGCGAAACAACTGCAAACTTTAGGATTCAAAATAGCCTATATATTTTTAAAACGAATAATTTATTTTAAGTAATTCGTATGCAATAACTTCACATATAAATAAATGTCAGTCTACAGAAAAATGTGACTACTAGCCTATATTGTAAATTGCACGGTAAAAAAAATATGAAGAAAGTGAATTTCCATGGTAACCATCGTGATCTGTGACCCTGCACTAATCGCCCTCTCTTTGATTTAAAACGGAAGTAGGCCTATCATTGCCTCTGAAAAGCCTCTTTAATCTACGGGATCCCCGTGATCCGATCATCCCAGTGTTATCCCCTCTCTTTAGCCTATTATGGGGATCAGGGGGCCATAAATGCAGTGCGGAGAAAGCTATCCCAAAGTCAGCAAAGCCACCCAACTTCGGTCTGAAATAATGCACGTTAGAACTGGATGTTTCTGCAAAGATCGTGTCCAGTCAGGAGTTTTCCCACCACAGCCTCTAAAGATAAACACAGCAGCCTTCAGGTGTGAATGAGGCAGTTTGGCTCTATGGCACCAGGTCCTAACGGGAGAGGTGTGGATGGGTTCACATCAACATGCAGGAGAAGTTTACCCAATTTTTTCAGACAGGAGAAAAAATGTTTTGTTTTTGGTGTCGTATTTGTAAATCAACTGTATTTTGGGGCTTGTTTCTCACACAATGAATAAGTTAGGACAAAAAGACACAAAAGAAGGAGATAATGCAGCATTACAAACAAAGGGGGATAGAAAGAAGAAACAAATAAAAAGGAAGGCTTAATTGAGATGAATAGTAATCAAAAAATAAATAATTTTAGCAACACAAACGAATCGAGACCACATAATACAAAATAACAAGCTACATTATAAATTGAACTGAAGAAAAATGGTGTATGTCTCCAAAAAAATAGAATGAGACAATATATATTTCAGCAGTAGGCTATTTTCTATTTTCTGCATTAGCTTACAACCAGTTTAAAATGTATGTGAAGTCAACACATGTTATATTTACCTCCTATTTTATTCAATATAAGGTAGATTTTCGATGACATTTAAAAAAATAAAATAAAGAATAGCCTACAACTATTTCATGTGAATGAATCATGAATGATAAACTTCAAAATGGTGATTCGGGTGAGTTTACCCAGTTTACAGGATAAAGAAACCAAACTGTAACATTTTTCAACCCACATGGCACACCCCCCTAAAAGAATACGTTTGGCTTAGAAGTTCAAATAAAAGGATTATAGATTTAAATACATTCAAAGGGACCTCAGTGTCAAGGCCGCGTGCTGCTGGATGGATGAGAGGCGTGTCCCGTGGGGGCGGGGACACCTGCAGGGATATCAACAAACTGCAAAGGGATCCTACCACTTTTCATTTTGGATTCAAAGCTAGAACCAACTGTGTCGCCGTCAGTGATGAAGGCTTTAACTTCACCAGAGTCTCCCAGGCAGAGGAGTAACAGAAGGGTAAGCGTTTGCATCATGTGCGCAGTTTCAGAATGAAAGAAAACGAAAACGTTTTGTTCAGAGTTGTAAATTGCAATATTTGTAATCCTTAGATCTCCAAACCCGTGATGGAGAAACGCAGACGTGAGCGGATCAACACCAGCCTGGAGACATTACGAATTCTGATGCTGGAAAACTTCCATGATGATGTAAGCTTGTGTGCCATGCTTGTATTTAAGTTCGATATCTTATGAAATATGAATGTATCAAAGTCTATACTTCCTATTGATTGTATTCTTCTTTTAGAGACTGAAAAATCCAAAGGTGGAGAAGGCAGAGATTCTGGAGAGTGTGGTGAACTTCCTGCAGTCAGAGGTGGAGATGGACAAGGGTCACCGGGCCATGAACAGAGTCCTGACCCGGGAGCAGAGGCCGACCTCCGACCGCCAGCACAACTACCGAGACGGCATGAGGTCCTGCCTGCTGAGGGTCAGCCACTTCATCTCCAGCAAGAGCCAGGAATTAGACCAGACCGATGAGGGGGCAGGTCTGGCTCCCCAACCCCAGAGACACCCTGCATCTCCCGGACACATCCTCAAGACACAGGCCTCTCGGTCTCCTCATCCGGTCCACCATCATAGCCAAAACCCTCATCCATCATTCGGCACCGAGAGGACCAGCATGCACTGCGACACCCGGGAGCTGTTCTCCTCCGCCGCAGACTGTGCGCACATCCCGGAACCTGTGTGGAGGCCCTGGCCGCAGTAACAGACTCTTTGACTCCGATTCTATTTTTAAAAGATGCCAACAGACTGTGTAAATATGCATTTTGTTGTACAGCCTGCAATCTTTTGTACATTGATGATATTTTCCATGAAAACAAATGATCCCATTTAAGGATCCACATGTGGCGTTTTTTGCCGTAAGATTGACTTTTTGGCATGCGCGTCATATTATCCTTTTTTTGATAAATATGAGATGTTTTTACGCAGCAGTGTCCACACATGTTTTGTTTATATGAGATGAGCCCTATGTTTGGTGTTGCTTAAACACGTGCGTAAAATGCGCAAAAACAACTTGGGTGCCATTCTATTTTTCTTTTCTTTGCTCTGATATTGTACATATAAGAGACATGGAGTTTATTCTATGATTGTGCTTGCTGAATTGTCTGTTCCCAATTGCAATAAAGCACACCTTCCTGATCATTCCAAAAATAATCGAGTGGCCTATTTGCTGAGTGAATAGCTTGTACTTGAACCAGAGGAGTATAAAGAATATAAGAGACATGGAGTTTATTCTATGATTGTGCTTGCTGAATTGTCTGTTCCCAATTGCAATAAAGCACACCTTCCTGATCATTCCAAAAATAATCGAGTGGCCTCTTTGCTGAGTGAATAGCTTGTACTTGAACCAGAGGAGTGGCACATCCACAGGACAGTTAGCACATACTTTAGCCGGGCTGGACAACAGTTATGACACATTTGTCTTTTGATATGTTGATAGTGGGGGACCGGCTGCTTCTATCTGAAGTGCCGTTTTTAAAAGGTAGAAAAGCACAGGAGAGTGGTCATTCACACACTGTCTAGCCAGACTGCTTCAGGTGAGGCATCCAATTTACAAAGCGAACGTTGGACGTCCAACCTTGTTATCCAGAACAATTAGTGTGCCCAATTCAAAAGTACATGTTTAAATTCAACACAATAATGCATCTATTATATTGGGTATACGTTACATTGTGTGGCACGCATTGCTATAAAATAGAAGGGTTACAAAATAGGCTAAGCGACACACCATGATAAAAAAAACAGATGCTGTGTTTAACCAGGAACACGTGCTGAGTTATTTTCTTTAGCACCTACTCAAAATGTTCAGGTGCAGACTCACACTAGTCGTGCTGGAAAGCACAATAACATCAGCTGATGGTGGGGGGATGCTAAACCAAATCCACGTAAAACCTCAGGAATATGTATTACACATTTTAAATAACCAAACAAAACAAATTGGGGATGAAAATGTGAGATTCAGTTTGATTAAAGCAAACTATTTCAACGTGATAATTACATTTATAATTATATCAAAACGCACCATACAGATCCAACTGGGTATACAGATGACAAGATATTTAAATATACGTTGGGTCTGGCTTGCTGAGTTTCCAAATCATTCTCTAAAGTTTTGTAGATTGGGTGAAAGAGTCTGCATCCTGAACATGTGTTAATGGCCACTGTCGTGTGCTATTCTGCATTTAAAAAGACTGCACTACCTACAGGCTGTCGCTTATCAGCATACAAATGCACACTTGAAGGTCTCATAATTGTTCACCATCGTTGGCTAAGTATCCCAAAGATCAGAAGGCAGGATAGCATTTTAACCCCTCACGAAAACACTTGATTTGTGGTGGCGTAATTGTTGTAGTAAATATGGAAATTAGATAAAACAAATTATTGTTATTTGGGATAAATTTGAGGACACTTTGAACAGCTTTAAACTGCATGAAGAACATTTAAAATATCACATTTTTTCTCTTTTAGATCTGTGTTTATTTTTATTTGAATTTGTTATTTGAACCATACACTTTATACCATGTATTATACACACATTCCTCCAAAGCTTGTTTGAAAGCGTTCTTTATCAAAGCAGGTGTTAGTCTCGCAGCGCTGATCTCTTGACAGGATGCTCTTTTGTGAGCTTTAAAGCTTAAACCCCCGAAGAAAAGGGACACAGGACTAAGTCAATATATTAAATCTGGAAACAGATTAGGGATTCATGTGAGACTGCTCTCTCTAGATGAAGATTTAATTAATTTATTGTCAGTGTTAGATAAAGATTACTCCAATGCGGATGTATCTAGCTACTTAGGTCTTTGTTTATTTTATAAAATGTAGGATATCTGAATGACCTGACATTTCAAGGGATTTCTTTCCCACCACCCTGATCAACATTTCAATAGGCAGTTATGTCGCTGTTGGTTTTTGCCACTTTAGCGTGAACTCAATAAATGCAAAGTGATAAATCTCCTTGCCACGTCAACTAACCATTTGATGACTGCAGTTCATAACGAGACCTCATCTAACTATAATATGTTTTAGGCTACAACCATAAACAAAGTTCGAGTTTGTATCGAGTTTATAACTTTCTGTTATAGTTTATTTTTGGGCAAGAGATCTTCAAAGTTGCAGTCCTATATGAAAACTCACCTATTTTACACGTTTAAAAGTGCCTATAGCTGCATATGCCTATACATGCTTAAGTTCAGTTAGTTAATATTTTAAACCAAATGTTTAGGTTAGATTCCCATGGCCACGTGTCGGCCCGTTTCACAACCAAAGTCCGGATGTTATGAAAGCCCCACGCCTCAGGTGTTAATAGGTTGCTGCCACCCATGCGCCAGAGGTGACAGGCTCGTGCACTAAAACAGTTTTTTGTAACAGAGTATTATTACTGCGCATCTGAGTCTGGTATCAGGAATCTGTGGCAACAATTCAAAACATGCCATAAAACATGTTTATGTAAGCTTGTGTTACTGAAATTACATTCAGGAATCAGGATGCATTTAAAACGTGAAAGCCAGACGCTGAGTGTGCAGGTTGAAAACAAGACATCATGTTATTGTTAGCTTGTAGGGTAGCCAGGTGTTGTGTAGCCAATTCTGCACGTGTCATGCTGGTTCAAATAAGTTGTGTTTAATATTTAATTTGTCGAGTATGAAAGTCTTTATGTAGAAAGTCTATGATGAAATATATGACACCGTTTTTGTATCCGGTCTACTAACATAAATGTAAAATCAAAGGCTAGTGTATTAGGTGGAAAACATGCCATGTTGTTTACGGTTAGCTAGCACAGCTTATGCTACAAATGTTGAACGTCTCATGCTGTGATTTTTTTGTATTAAACCTATGGTGTATGAAACTAAATAGTAGGCCTACAGTTCAGCCTTCACAGCTGTATCTCTAAATGGGCTACTTCTAAATTGAAATGTAAAGCTTAGCCTACCATAGTTTGTTTGCCCTGTATTAGCATTTGGCTCTAATGGGTTTTGATTCAGACTTTGTATTTGATTATTCATGTTGCCTAAATCCTCCGCTGGTGGTAAACTGCGGGGGAAAGCACATTCATTAATGTGAACAAAGCTGCACCGCTGTGCTTTGTGTCTGTGCTGCGAGCTGTGGGGCGGGTCGGAGGCTGCGAGACATCTGCCGCTGCCTCCAACCTCCCCGGCAATTACAGCCTGTGTTCCGCAGAGAAACACACAGCGAGACGAGACACAACAGGTGAATAAGGTGTATTGTTTTACTAATACTGTAGATAACACCAGGAAACCTTTAAGCCAATTATTGCTTTCATTTCAAGTTTTCTATATTGTATGCTTAAATATGCAAATGAGTAGCCTAGTATTCAGATACTTTACCTATAGAGAAGGCTGCTAGTCCACACTGGAAAACTCTGCTACAAGTAAAAGTCCGTATATAAAAATCTAACTTATGTAAAAGTACTTAGTAACATGTATTTAAAGTATTACATGTACAAGTAGCCTACCTAATGCGGAATAATCGAAAAATAAACACAAACAAACCTGAAAATGTAAAATGATTCAAAATAAATGACTACTATCTCAATCTTTCAAAAAAGCTATTCTTAAATCAACTAACTGTTGGCTAGTTTAATTTATAACATCTTATTTTATAAACTCAAACATTTTAATGAACATTTAAAGTAACAATACATCGTTATGATGTAGAATATTTGACAAAAATGATAGTGGTGTTGATGTATAAATTGTAAGGAAAATAAACTACTCAAGTACAAGTACATTCATTTGGCACTTAGGTACCATACTGGAGTAAATGTACATTCCACCGTTGCAATTGAGGCTTGGTCTTAAATTAAATAATTTGTATAGATGACAGTTAAAGCCTCTCATAAGTATTCTTACTTATGAAGATCTCTTACTTGTGAAGATAACCTAAATGTAAGAAAATGAACAGGAGTAGGCTATTAATGATGTATAACCCAACCCTTCTGTAAAAACCTTTAGAATGTAGATGAAGAAACAGGAGAGTCTGATGTATGCAAGTGATACTGAAATGGAGATTTATCTCAGAATGAGAGAAACAAAATATGACTGACATATAAAACACATATCAACTAAGTGCAGTAAAATGAACCCCTTAATATGTGTTTTGGTGGTTTTCTTCCTGCTTGTCTGAAAGAAGACATGTTATGGAAGCAAAATAGCCAACACTCAAAGTTGACGAGTGCAATCAATTTAAAACTAGGTTATGACATTTCATGAAAAAAACGTTTATTAGCAACAAGGGAAAGTCACTGTAATAACAAATGAATGACAAGACACAAGCAGAATTTACCCAACCTTATGTTGAATCTTTTACATTATACCATGACTAAGCCATCTGTGTGTGTTTGCAGTGTGTTTGCAGTGTGTGAGCATGCAGCTGAGTCACGTGGTCAGACTTTGCCGACAGCCATGCCCTGCGCTTTCTGAAACTCCTGCTGTAAACCAGACAAGAGTTCTCGATGCTGGTCAGATTTCTTTTCCAGGTCTTTCAGGAGTGTTTCGTACCTTTGACTGTTAGACGACAAAAGAGAAAGAAAATATACATCTGTTACCAAAAATATCACACCCAATTGAATCACATTTGACCATATTTGTGTACACTGAGTATTTCATCACAAGATATGATGCACACCTTTCTGTATTTAAAATGTTTTCACTCCATTCCTTAGTAGGGATATTTCTATTTCGGATAATAATATTTTGACATTATCAATAGACACTATCACATACACAGGAGAACTAGTATTATTTATAGTAGACATTTGTTTTGGTCATAAGAGAAAATGTTCCCCCCCAAAAGATGACAATGAAATACACTGTAAGCGGAAAGCAAGACAAATAAATACTCAAGAGAGAGAAAGAAACTTGTCATACCTAAACTTTTTACACAGAACAGCCATTCATTAAATTGAAAAACAAACTTCACATTTAAAATTCCTTGTAAAAGCAATGGGTATTAGAAATTGTGGAATCCTAACGTGATCATTTATGCCCCGGCCACACGAGGACGAAAACGGCCGTTTGCGTTACTGTTTAGTGTCATATAGACCATTCGGCCATACGAGGACGACCGAATACGGCACTAAACGACTGAGGAAACGATAACGGGTCCCAAGGTGGATAGAACGGCATACGCAACGCTCTGGGGGGTCAAACAGCTCCGTGTGTGCGCCCTATACGATCATTTTCTGATAATGATTGCGCAATAGCAATAGCCCCGCCTCTGCTGCTCACCCCCGCGTCAAAGTAAACTGCACACTGAATTCAGATTATTTATCTTTCTCTCGATATGGACATAAACGCGAGTGAAGTCTAATCTGACAGGACGGAGACACCTCTCAAACTACCTAAACTAGTTATAAATATGTTTATTTTTACTGTCGGCCGGGTCACTCATTACTGGATCAGCTGCTGCATGAGACAGACACTGGCGCTGTCCGAAGAGAGGGTGGAAAAAGAGAGGCTCCGTGTATTTTTATTATTATATTATATAGAGTCGTTATTCATTTGTTTTAAAGCTCAATAAATAACAAAGAAGACCTTTGACCGGCACTTTTATAATTTTGTCGGAAGGTTTAAACTTTAATACACATTGACTGGCGAAAAACTCTGCCCGGTTCCCTCGGCCCCCACCGCAGAGAATAAACAGAAGGGCAACCATGACAACCATGCTTCTTCGCTGCTTTTGTGGAGGAAGTTACAGCGCCACGTACAGGCTCCTGCATATGTACTGCAGCTTCTCCAGCGGTTGGAGCTAAACGGAGCGGTCTCGTGTGGGCAGACACTATCCGGATAACTATTGCGTGTGGACGGAAGCTTGTTTGCGATTGCGTTTGCGTTAATCCTATGCGTTTAGCCGTTTTCGTCCTCGTGTGGCCGGGGTCTAAGTTGATTTAACTATCCTCTCAAGTTGCTTTCTCTTTTAGGGCACAATGAGCAATCAACGACTTACACATAGTTCTCCTGATTCCCAGGGACAGAAGGATGTTGGAGTGATTATCATCCCACCATTCAAACTCATTACTGCCCTCTACATGTGAGTGAGCAAAACGACAGCTAAGCTATGCACCAATATAGAGGTTCTCAGATGCCTATTCACATTTTAGGTTATTGGAGAAGAGGGTGTAATATAATAATTTAAAAAACATTGTGGTATTAACTTACACAAGAAGCTGTTGTAAATATATTAAAGCTGAAGATATTAGGACAAAGCATTTTACGTTTCTGAGTGTGAATACTTTTGGAGAAGTAACGTCATTCTTATAATTGATATTATCAAAAGAAATGCGGAAATATTTACCCTTTACGCTGAATGACAATTATGTGTTAATATCACTGTGTGTACCACGCCATGATATACAAGTTTAGTGTTCAAGTTGTAGTTTTTGCTCTAATACATGATGGACTACACAAGCAGTCTATGAGGTCATACTTTATAGACTAGTATGACCTTATACTTACCTGCTTAAAAGGCATGGTAAGAACCTAATGACTCAAAGCTGCAGTTTATGTGCCCATCGCATCAAGGCTTTAAACCGTTCTGCCATTTAATGTTGTTATGGGTCAGCCATAATTTAAACAAATAATAAATGTGTAGTTCAAGATTTGAGAAATTGCTGCTCAATGCTATTTTAAATTTGATCAGAGATAACCATCATTTTGTAATGAGCCCTAATTAAATGTGTGTTCCATAGAAAATCTTTCATCTTCAGGGGCGGCGCCAGGGGGTAGTCTAACAATTGGCATAGCAACGGCTTAGCAACCCCACTGTTTTGTTATGAAAATGTATCTATATATATTTATACACATTCTCGCGAGATCTATCAGGGGTCGTTGTAAGTTAAAGCGCAAACTGTTAGTTGGCCAATGTTGTTATAATTCTCAGTATGTGAACACAGATCGAAAATGGAAAGATTTCTCACAAGTCAGCGTAAACGACCGCAATCTTTGTTGCAATCAGGGTTGTCCAGTCGGACCCTGCTATCCGTGTGTGTGTGTGTGTGTGTGTGTGTGTGTCAGGGTTCTTACACCTTTTCCAAAGTCAAATTCAAGCACTTTTCAAGCATTTTCAAGGTGCATTTTCCAGCTTTTCAAGCATCTTACAGCTGTTGTAAATTACATATTTATATACACATACTCAAATGATTATTTCCCTACCTCACATTAAATCAGATGTTCTTTATGCTATAAACAACCAAATGTGTGTTTCGTGATAGCCTTCTACACGAGGATGACCAATTAAAGAAAATAAAACTAAGTTTAATATTTCAAAATGAGTGACCTGTACGTAGACTAGGCCTCCCATATAACCTGTCTGAGCCAATATAAAACAATCAGCCAAATAACTTTTCAATACATTATTGATTACTATTTTTGAGGTACTTTTAGGTTGGAAGTGAACATAAGTCAGAGGTACATGGTGTACTTCTACTCCACTACAGTTCAGAGGTACATGGTGTACTTCTACTCCACTACAGTTCAGAGGTACATGGTGTACTTTTCCTCCACTATATGTATTTAATACCTTTAGTTACTTTACAGATCTGGATGAATGATGTGAAATATAATCAAGTGTTGAATCAGACTTTAGTTCCACCTGGAGTAAATCCACAAGCTACCCTGCAGTATACAAAGTCATTCAAACTAGCTGCACCTTTACCAGCTTTGAGAACACTTTCATGATCAATCATTATAAAACATATCATATATATTATTCTGAAATAAACCAATCTGCACAACGACTACTTTTACTGTCTTTAACTATATCTTGATGAGAATACTTTTCTACTTTTACTTGAGGAACATTTTGAATGCAGGACTTTTACTGTAACAGAGTATTCCTACACTCTGGTACTTCTACTTTTACTCAAGTACAAGATCTGAGTACTTCAACTTTTACTCAAGTACAAGACCTGAGTACTTCTACTTTTACTCAAGTACAAGATCTGAGTACTTCTACTTTTACTCAAGTACAAGATCTGAGTACTTCTACTTTTACTACAAGATCTGAGTACTTCAACTTTTACTCAAGTACAAGATCTGAGTACTTCAACTTTTACTCAAGTACAAGACCTGAGTACTTCTACTTTTACTCAAGTACAAGATCTGAGTACTTCTACTTTTACTCAAGTACAAGACCTGAGTACTTCTACTTTTACTCAAGTACAAGATCTGAGTACTTCTACTTTTACTACAAGATCTGAGTACTTCAACTTTTACTCAAGTACAAGATCTGAGTACTTCAACTTTTACTCAAGTACAAGACCTGAGTACTTCTACTTTTACTCAAGTACAAGATCTGAGTACTTCTACTTTTACTACAAGATCTGAGTACTTCAACTTTTACTCAAGTACAAGATCTGAGTACTTCAACTTTTACTCAAGTACAAGACCTGAGTACTTCTACTTTTACTCAAGTACAAGATCTGAGTACTTCTACTTTTACTCAAGTACAAGACCTGAGTACTTCTACTTTTACTCAAGTACAAGATCTGAGTACTTCTACTTTTACTACAAAATCTGAGTACTTCAACTTTTACTCAAGTACAAGATCTGAGTACTTCAACTTTTACTCAAGTACAAGACCTGAGTACTTCTACTTTTACTCAAGTACAAGATCTGAGTACTTCTACTTTTACTACAAGATCTGAGTACTTCAACTTTTACTCAAGTACAAGACCTGAGTACTTCTACTTTTACTCAAGTACAAGATCTGAGTACTTCTACTTTTACTCAAGTACAAGATCTGAGTACTTCTACTTTCACTACAAGATCTGAGTACTTGTACTTTTACTCAAGTACAATACCTGAGTACTTATTCCACCTCTAGTAGTGTATTAGCCTGAATTGTAGCCACAAAATCACGCAGAGCTGCATAAAAATAGACTTACAATGGTAACAAGTGGAAAATAATATGTACAAATGTGTACAATGATTTGTAGGTAATGCTACTCAAGACACCTGACTTATACATCTTCAAAGGAAGACTGTGTTCATTCTACAATTACATGGGATTAAAGCAAAATGTAGTTTTACTTGTATAATACTTCAATTTTATATAAAAGACAGTTTGTTTTCATGTTTTCAAATAAACAAAGTATTGGCTTTCAGAATATTAAACTTGTTTTGACAAATGTAGATGATAAATACAACTTTGAAGCTTCGGCATAATTACAAGCAGAGAACGGACTAATGTAACGTCACAGCAAGCAACAGCCGGTGTTTCTTGTGAGTGTTTCCCCGTAACACAAACGCAAAAATACACAAACACACTTGCGAGCTTCCCCCAGACCAGTAATACAAACGAAAATGTGTCTTCGGGTCAATGTGACTGATTTCGATAGAGCAAGTCACATTTGGTTTAGGCACGAAACATACTACCAGTAGAAATACATTGCTTTCAAAATCGCTCTGTGTCGAATCAATAGATTATATTTCGTGACTATAACACGAAATGCCGTGAGAGCTTCATCCTCTGAACACCACAGGATGGCGACTGTAACGCACATAACATAGGTACGCTCATCTGAAATGATTGTCCCCTGCAATTATTATTATCCCTCAATCGAGTTTGCTAATCAGCTTGCTAACGTTAGCTTAAACAAACGTAACATGCAACGTTAGCCTAATCTAAAATGCTCTTCTACGGCATACCTTTCATGTGGCTCGTCAGCGCAGACTCTCCCATCTTTATGTTGCAAACTTTGCAGGAGGCTACTCGTGGGCTTGACCCTCGTCTTAGCCATGGCTTGTATTTATCTTCTGCTAGCCAACGCTCGTTGAAACTGCAACCTCCTGGCACACTGTCATCTATCACTCTCATCAGAATGCCCAGGTCACACGTAACACAAACACTTGCAGGTCGCGCGCATAGCGCGGGAAGGCCGCAGCGGAGCTGTTTTATGTAGAAGCGAAGCAATTATTTTAATCTAAAAAGCGAACTATTCAGTCATACAGCAATTTATTGTACAAGTAAAGCATTTACATTTTCAAGCACTTTATCTCAATTTGAAGCACCATTCCCATAATTCAAGCACTTTCCCAACCTTGAAAACACCACGTCAAATTTCAAGCATTTTCAAGGATTTCAAGCACCCGTACGAACCCTGGTGTGTGTGTGTGTGTGTCTGTTTGCGGTGTGGTGATGAGGTTAAATGCCACAGCATGCCAGTTGAAACAGTGAACGATCGCTATTGTGTACTTGTACGCTTAGGGTGTAATGGTATTACACAAAAATATTGTAGGAGTACAGAAACAGTGTTCAAATTCTGCTTTTACAAACTTATTTTGGTTGTGCTTACCTGGCAAAGTAATGTTATAAGTGTCAAAGGAATGTTTTTAATGTAAATATTAAGGATAATATTGTAGCGTGTCCAAGTTAATAGTTATGCCAGTTATCAGATGTGCAGTTTAGTACGTTTGTAAAGTTATTTAGGCAATGTTGTTAGTGGGAGTTAGGGAGAGACCGCCCCTTCCAGGTGTGTGTGTGTGTGCGTTTTCCGGTGTGTGTGGAGGCAGTACGAGACGCTAGGAGTTGTGTTCGAGTGTGGGGAAAAGTCATAATGAGTGTTATACTATTGATTGGTTCTGTAAGGCGTGGCTGTGGCCGTCAATACCGGAAAATAAAGAGAACGTTTTCGACATTGAAGGCTTGAGTGATCTGTGATTTTGAATAGCGGTGAACGCTAGCTCGTGCTTGGCCCACTGGTATTGTTTGTTTATTTATTTATTTTGAAAATTAACTAGCAACGCTGTGCTGACATATAGCAAATGCTAAGCTACTGCAGCAAAAAAATCCTAGCGCCGCCCATGAACATCTTCCAATCCTTTTTACCATAGCATGGTCAACACACAGATTGAGGATTGAGAAATGAAGCTTCTTCCTTTCAGGGCCGGAGGTTAGTCTCAAAGTGTAGAACAAAGCGGTATGAAAATAGCTTTGTTCCACATAAATGAACAAGTTGTGGCAGTATCAGACAGATTCTTTGGTAGCAATGCCTATTTATTTATTAACCCTCAGGATTGCCCATGTTTGTACTAGTGGTTTTTATTTTTGTATGTTTTTAGATGTGACGGAGCAGGGGGTCTGTGTTGTTTTAGAATGTATGTCATAATGCATCATTTATCTTTTATCTACAAACCAAATCCACCTACCAGTATAAATAAATAACCTGAACCTGAGGGTATCTAAGTAATTTGAATAATTACCCCCCCCCCCTTCAACCAAAATCACACTGAACGTAAAAAAAATCTACTTTCTTACTGTTCTGGTTCAAAGATTCAAAGGTTCTATTGTCATAAGCACAATAGCTACAGTGTAGTTATGGCAATGTAAATCGTAAGTCCGGCTACAACATAAATATATATGACAATAAAAAATAGTGCAAGGAAAACACAATAGAAACAAGATAATACACAAGAATGTTGCAAGTGACAAATATGCAAGTAAATACGTAACCAGTAAAGTATATACATGCAACATAGAATAGACCTATGCAGAACGTAAATAATATAAAGTGAAGGACTCACATTTCTCCGTTGATGTACTCCAGTCTTTTTGTGACAGTAGCTTTGGCCTCATCCAGGTCTTGCTTCACTAATACTGGGCCAATAAGCTTATACACTGTGTTTGTTGTGTCCAGCAGATCAAGCTCCTGGAAAGGAAAAGAGAGGGAAAGATGAGATATGTCATTTTGCAAAATCCAATAGTCAACATTACTGGCAAAATATTCTGACAGTGAATTAATAATCCTGAACAATTTCTTACCTCTTTCACAATGTTGTTCTCTGCGAGCTGCGTCTCCAGCTTCTGTCTGGTTGATACGCTCTTGCTAACATCTAAGCAACAGAAAGTTATTAGTAAATTATGTGAATAATTCACCATACAAAGCTGTGTAAACGTACAGTAAATGTCTAGCAAGTTCATTTAAGTATAGCTAGCTAGCGGTCCTAATATGGCCAGCTAGCTCCCCACAACATGGCATGATGTGAGAAAGCATGCAATGCTAGCATGCTCTTACCTTTCTGCATCTGTGTATATTTTTCTACTTCTACTTTCAGCTTCTTCTGAATGGCCTCTGCCATGTTTGTGTTTGGTCGGTGAAAGTGCTATAGACTGGGTAAATGTATCAAAGAGGAATCGTTTATTAGCTAAATGTGATGTGAGTTGAAAGCTCTGCGTTAGCTAACCGGAAAGGGCTGCGGCTGTTCGTAGAGGATATGAGCCGAATCCCTTCAAAGTAAAAGCCCACACTACTTCAGAGTTGTATGATGACAAACAAATAAGCACACTTTAACACCAGAAATAAGCGAGCGAATATCAAAACCACCCTAAAATGCATATATTTATTGTTCGTGTAATGGAATTTAGTTATCTTCGATTTTATCTAGTGAGGTTATTTGACCCTGTCATGGTTGCTGCTGTTTACGACATCGTTTTACGACGTTGCTTTACGACACTGCACAAAGTTCCTCATCGCTCTGGATCAAGATGGCCTCATCGTTTTGGAAAGGTGTTGTCGGCGTCGGACTCTTTGCCTTAGCTCATGCAGCTTTTTCAGCCGCACAGCGTAAGTCTCCGTGCAGGGACTGGGAACACGACTCTCTGTATCATTTTTTAGAACAAGAGGGCTCCGTTGTCACCGGGTAGGAGTGTATCACTGCCGGATGGGCCTCTCGGGCTAACGGCGAGCTATCTCGATGCTAGCGCAGTTTAGCCCCGTTCATTCGCAGCGGTGAAACACTGAAATCTGCTATTAATGTTAAATACCAACGCCAGTGACAAACGACGTTGAAGGTGACTAACTGTAGCTGAAGAAAAGGAAATCAATGCTTTTATGATTCATTATAAGAATAGCAACTATTGTCTAGGAATTAAATGTATATCCCTATAGTCAATATTGTAATTAATGGTATTGTAAAACCTTTACATGTGTCTTCATATTTCCAAACCGCTTGAGTTGCAAGCTAAATGGGAGAAAAAAATTAAGCCTTTACATAAAGCTGGAAATAGACACCATTTTACAATGTAATTTCTAAAAATGTTTCCTAATTCTACTGACAAAAAATATGCAGTTATTATAGATTTAAAAAAAAGCATTTGATACCATTGATTATTTTAAATTACTCAAAATGTTTAAAGGTGATATAATAAAAGAGGGGTTGTCCTGGATTAGAGTAGAAGCTATCCATGAAACAGGCATGCACTTAATAAGATTAGCATAAATCACCATATGTATGTTAATTATGGAGTACCCCAGGGGTCAGTATTAGGCCCAAAACCGTTCATCTTCTACATAAATGATGTATGTCAAAATGTTATTGCTTTATTAACTAATCAAAATGTTCCTTCTCCTGCCAGACATTAAATATTAATTGAGGTTGTTTATTTACATTTTATTTTAGAGTTGTTTTATGAATAAAAGGTTTCATCTTTAGCTTATCAATCCATCTGAGCTGTATATATTATATATATATGTTTTACTCCCATCAGATCGATCATACATGCGACTCACAGAGAAGGAAGATGAGACACTACCAATTGATGTAAGTTACTCATATTGTCTTAACCTTTGACAACAAACCCCAAAAGTATGTGCTATATCATCGTCTTTGTTCCTGCAGATTGTATTACAGACCTTATTATCGTTTGTGATGACCTGTTACGGTATTGTCAACATTGCTGGAGAGTTCAAAGACATGGATGCCTCCTCAGAGCTCAAAAACAAGTAAGTTGAGTTGCAGCACCATCTCCCATGATAATTAGGTTGTTTGTGTCGTCTGCCATAAGGGAATCGGGCTTAACTGCATTTATAGTAACAGTTTGAATCAATTCCCTGAGATACACAATGAACCTCCCCAAGCGGCTGTTTCTTATTTGGGGCCAATGTGTCTTGAAGGCTAGATGCAACTTCAAATCCATCACTATAGGAATGGTTTTAATCATCTTTAACCATAATGTAAATAGTAAACACTTCAGACAGATTTGGCAAATAATAAAATGTATGCTGTGATGAACTGGACATTTCTTAAACTAAGACACAAAATAGTTAAACTCAATATTTAAAAAACTCTATTTTTCTCTCAAATTCATAAACATGAACATTTTCAAAAAATGGGCCAATAATCCATAATCATTTAGATCTAAAGGGGTTTTGAACTTATATATATATTTTGGCTATCTTAAGCTGTTTTATGAGAGTTAAAACTACATGATGTCATCGTACACAATTGTAGAAATTAGACTCTTAGGAAACAGTCAGTGTGGTGAAGTATACTTGCTTTGTCTAACTTGTGTTTCTAAAATGTGAAATGTATAATTATACATAACCAGGGTAGGATGTTTTTCTTAGATATTAGTATTCTATAAATGCCTATTTTTGAGTCGATTATAGACACAACCCCACATTTTTGTTGCCCCTTTGACTAGTACCTCAATCGCACTTTGAAAAGAGCTATATAAATGTCCTGTTTCAATATTACTATTGTTATTATTCTTATGATTATTTATACCAGCGACTACCTTGATACCTGCCCAAAATAGAGCTTATAATTAACATTCATTGCCTTAAATTTGAAAGATTGATTTCTACTTTGTATCATAGCTTGCCAAGAACACTTGTTGTCAGTTACACGATGATTGCATTGCTCACTGCTCTGAGTTGCACCTGTATTTCATTTGAAAGCAGAACAATATTTGCCCCATGTCAGTCTTTTTACATCTTAATCTTAATTTTTCCAGAACATTTGATACACTGAGGAACCACCCATCCTTTTACCTTTTCAACCACCGGGGTCGGGTGCTCTTCCGCACGCTGGAAGAGGAGCCGTCCTCCGCACGCAACCAAGCGCTCCCAAACCCCTTACGGCTACGCAAGCTGGAGAATTTGCACTGAGACTGGCCTTTCCTGCCTGTAACACCAACAACGTCAGTTAACATTTGTTTTTGTTAGACAGGAGGGGGAGTCCGCCTTCCTCGACTTTAATTTGTTTTTGTACATAAACTAATATGCTGTCCAAACATGCATCTCTGTCCATAAAAGTGGTCACCAACCATACTCAACACTGACTGTGCCAACCCTTCAACTTTTCAAGCCGATTTGTTTGTATATACAGTATGTAATCGCTTTGGAGTCTTAAGATACGGAGACCTCTGCCCCTTTTTGTCCCTTCTGAACTCAAATTGGGATATTGCTGTCCTTTGTATATCCTTTGTATGAGGGGCAAAAAAATGCCTGTTACTGTTTCATTTCAACCGCACCATCAGTCCTCAGCCACCGTCTGGGCCAGCATTTTGTGAACTGAAATGAGTTTTGTTGTATGAACTGGGGCCTTTTGATTCCCTTGATGGTTTCCTGGAAGCATAAAGGCTCATCTTTACTTCCTGTTTGCATTAAAGAGGTTCTGCTTTATGCCACAGGAAATCCACTGAAGGCGAGATGTAAGAGCAGAAGAAAGCGTTAGGCAGCCGTTCCACTGATACTGTGAACACTAATGAGAACTAGAAAGTATAGGTACATTCATTTTGGTGAAGTTTATTTTTCCTTCATTTTACATTTAGTTAAGATTCAACATATGTTTTTAATTTAATAAAAGGCTTACTGATTTTACAAAGCGTCAATGTATTTATTTTGTCTTACATTTCATATTCGCAGGCTGGAGTATTGCTTTGGCCTGACAAAAGGGATGAAATCTATGCTGTAAAAAATAGAAAACGGCGAGATGCCGTTTGCTCTCTTCTTGACAAATAATAATGTAATAAATGCAATTTTATCACAGATTAAAGTCCTTCGCCAATAGAAGTGGACATTGTTAGTGTAACAATGAAGATTCAAAGATTTTCCAATGACCTTGTTGCTTGACTGCTGCATCAGAAGAACAAAAATGTCCACCTGATCCCGTTTTCATGTCGGCCTCTAGGTGGCAGCAGAAGCTGAGTTTTTGTCTGGGTTACAAAGTCAATTATTTGTTATATTTCTACAACAGGTGTTTTATGTCAATCAATCAATCAATCAATGTTTATTTATATAGCCCAATATCACAAATGTTACATTTGTCTCAGTGGACTTTACAGTTTGTACAGAATATCAGTATGACAATACGACACCCTCTGTCCTTAGACCCTCACATCGTACAAGGAAAAACTTCCGGAGAAAACCCACAGTTTAAAGGGAAAATGGGAGAAACCTCAGGGAGAGCAACAGAGGAGGGATCCCTCTCCCAGGACGGACAGACGTGCAATAGATGCCGTGTGTAAATTGAAAAGATAATACATTTGCAACATAGGTAGTCCAAATGTTTGGAAATGCATGTGTGTATAATAGGAAGATGAATCCACGAGGATATCCATCCAGGACCTATGATCCAGGACCACAGCCACGACTCAAGATCCAGGGCTCGCGATCCAGGACAGAGGAGCGCAGGATCATCCATGTCTCCGGATCCCGGCGTATATAGACACCAAAAAGAAAGAAATGTGGGGAAGCTGGGTTAATCGGAACATGAGAGTACACAGGTATAGACAGAGAGAAGGAAGAAGTAAGATGTCCCCCGACAAACTAAGCCTATATCAGCAAAACTAGGGGCTGAATCTAATCAGCCCTAACTATAAGCTTTATCAAAAAGGAAGGTCTTAAGCGCACTCTTAAAAACGGATAGGGTGTCTGCCGCCCGTCAATGTACCCCTCATTTGCGGTGACTTTAACTCGGTTTAAATAATATAGGAAATTATACGGATCAATCTAATGAAATACAGATGAAACTGTTGCCTTCATTAAAGGACTTATTTTTGTTCTGAATATTGTGGAAAGGCATTTTTGCTTTTGTTTCTTAAATAACAATATAGGAAGAAAAAATGTAAATCTTCAAATCTGTTTCAATTTTTAGATTTGAATCTTTCTGTTCAGCTTCTTTTTTTTCAAAGACTGTATACATTTGTTTTCCTCATAACATGTTATCTTTCAGTCTACTATCATTCAGATACAATAAAACAAGTCACTCTTCTGTTGGACACGTAAGTTACATAGTTTAAAATGATCTAAAGCCCAAAAGGAAAACAAATGTAAGGTTCATGTGTAGAGTTTTACCGAGGAGCGGCTGCGTTCCATTTATGAAACAGACATTTGTTAATAATGCAAGATGTGAAGCTGTTTCTGCATTTTATGCTTTCAGACGAGGTAGAAATAAACAGACACAACAGGAGATACCATTCTATCTGGTTTATTTTTTGTTTTGTAAAAAAAATGGTAGATTCATAAAACTTTTCCGTTTTATATATTTAACAGTTTACAAAATTGGCTTTAAACATTTCATTCAAAATATTTCTTATACTCTGAAATAAACAAATTCACAAAAATAATCTATATTCCTTATGAACATTAAAAAGTAGTGTACATCTGTCGTAAAAACAAAAAGGAGGAGCGCCAACTTGTGTTGATGTAGAAAGCAGGGCGAATTCACCAGCTGTTAAAATTCCCAACAGGTGACTGAGCACTGGGACCGGTTGAATTCTGGGAATCAATGGAGCGTTTGTGGAAGAAATGTGTGGACTCTGTGGGAGAGGTAAACTGAATGGACACCGACAGATGCGTTCACTGACCTCATGTCCTATTGCTGTAATGGCAGGTAATAGGATAGTAATGAGAACACAAAAGTATAGTGTCCAGTGCAAATGCTGATTCATCTTTATACTATTGGCGTTCATCAATTTGAGCCTTGAAACACTAGTGTGTGGAAATTGTGTCAATACAACTGTCAATTTAGTAACAAGCCTATTCATTAGATTAAGGAGTTTTATTTCCGTGTTAATTTAGGTTTGGCGATATGACAAAACATACAATGAATCGGGATATAACATTTTGTATATAACCCACAAAAAATGTGGCCAGCAAATATGTGATATATATCACGATATATCTTGCGAATGCAACATAAAACATAGGCTCATTGATCTGTATCCATATCGCCCACGCTTATCCTGGCGCATATTGGTATCAGCATTTGGTAAAGGTATGTATTTGTTAAAAAAGCATCAGAGTCTTTTCTGCTGATATGACACTGGAGGTATGAGGTGGAGCTGTTAGCCATGATTGCAAAACATTTGATTATTTAGAAAAAAAGGTTGCTTTTTCAGACCAGCTGAAAAAAGGACAGTTTTTTCTAAAAATAACAATAACTGGAATGTACCTGTCCATCCCTTGCTCTGCCATTGGGAGGATCTGACGGCTTATTGCCTGACGGTGTATGTGTGTGTGTGTGTGTGTGTGTGTGTGTGTGTGTGTGTGTGTGTGTGTGTGTGTGTGTGTGTGTGTGTGTGTGTGTGTGTGTGTGTGTGTGTGTGTGTGTGTGTGTGTTGATACAGACAAAAGCCATATGGATGTTTAAGGCATCTGTCAGTCAGTATGAAGAGGATTACACTTTAAGTCTCTCCTCATCCTCAGTGGATCCATTACTCTCAGCACATGTAGAGTGGGAGGGATTCCTATCAACCCCCACCCCGCTGAACCCCCAGTTCCTCAATCTGTCTTCTTGATGCCCAGTCGACAGGGATGTCTCTATTGCTGTGAGTGAAATGGTCAACAAGATAAGAGCTTTATTCCCTTTTTTACTAACAAAGTAAATGTGTCTTCATCACTAACTGCTGCCGTTGTCATTGGGAAGCTCTGGGGGGGGCGCTTGCTTCTGTCCCAGCTCAGCGAGGGACGTCTCCAGCTGCTGGATCAGAACCCGCTTCTTAAACCTGCCAGAGAGGACAAGGGAGTTAGAAAACAAGCAGGAAACAAAGGGAGCACACTTACAAACATACAAAAAGAGGAGATTCATTGAACCTGCTTCAAGGACAATACATATCGCACTGGTACATGTCAAAATGATGAACCTGCTAGTGACAGGATTATTTTGATAATCTAAATGGACAATTTGCCATCTGTAAGTAGATGTCCAATAATGGTTGATGGCTATAGTTTTGCCTCAATAGTCAATTGAGGCAAAACATTCATTTTTTAGTGTTGTATTGAGCAAAATAGCTGATTTCTCCTGCTTGCAGAGCCGTGTTCGTAGTGCCTACATGTACCAGAATGCATAGCATGCAAGTTTCAGATGCCCATCTCTGACAAAAATAGCTGAATATCTGACATAACATCCTATGCCCTAAGCTTGCATTCATTTTGCAATAGAAGTAAACGGAACAAGGAAGTTCTGGGTTGTTTTTCAAGGTTTATTTTTGTATTTACACAATGCATTTATGCATGGCGCTCCCTGGCTACCCAATGAAACCGAAGCTGAAATAGCCTGAATGTCTTACTTGCACCAAACTAAGTCAACAGGAAGCATTCTGCTTTCTAGGGCCATGTAGCGCACACTCAATGTATTGCTTCAATCAACTTCCGTTACCATCAACTCTTATTGGACATCCATATAAAACAGGGGTGTCCAAACCTTTTCCACCGAGGGCCACATACAGAAAGATAAATAAAGGGCTGGGCCACTTATCGAGGTGAGGTATATTTCCTCGTAAGTTAAGTAATAAGTTAGCAGAATGTAGGTAAATTAGGCTCGATACATGAGTATGCTTTAAGATAAAAACAGCCTACATCACAGCTCTCTATGGGGTTTCATTAATCTCGTTGGCAGCTCATCCCTTAAAACCGAAGCCTCAGAGTGATTATAATAAGATTAAATATTAAGGGTCTATTTCAAGATTGTTATGTAAATAAGTTATTGGGCTTTTTAACACATGAATACTACTGTGTAATATATTTGTACATATATATTTAAGAAGTACAATATAAGAAAACCACAATTTTCATTTGTGGGCCATATTTCATTACACTTTTTTAACTTGCTGAGGGCCGATTCAAAATGTAGTTTGGACACCCCTGATATAAAAAGGTGGCAACATTTTTCATTCATCTAATTGACTCTCCCGTATACTACTAATTCTAAAATGAGTTAATGTGTCTTACCTGACGGCCTCTCTGATAGCGTGTTGGATGAAGTACTTCTGAACATCCACTGGTCCTTTCACCTGCTGCAGTAGACCGAGTATTGATTCATGGTCTGAGAAAGAAAAACACAGAGCAGTGAAGAGCTGCCCACTATGACCCCCACGTTATCAGATTACAATAATCTTAATGTAATGCAGCGCTGCTCACACTCACTTCTCCCAGGTTTGCGGACCTCCTTGATGATCTGACTCTTCAGCTCCGCCTGGCTGCCGTCCAGCGGGGCGATGAAGATGGGCTCCAGCGTCTCGGGGTCCGCTTCAGGGTCCTCTTCAGGGTCCTCCATCTGGCTCTGGGGGCTCAGTCGGTCACAGTTGAGTCTCTCCACCTCCTCATCTAGACTGTCTTCCTCTAGTCTGTCCTCTAGTCTGTCCTCTAGTCTGCCCTCTAGTCTGCCCTCTAGTCTGCCCTCTAGTCTGTCCTCTAGTCTGTCCTCTAGTCTGTCCTCTAGTCTGTCCTCTAGTCTGTCCTCTAGTCTGTCCTCTAGTCTGTCCTCCATCATGTCTACATCCTCCGTCTCGTCTGCTGCCCCCGGCTCCGTCTTCTCCTCGAGGCTCAGTGGAGACGAAGGGGTCTCAGCTACAGCGTCCACCTCGGCGGGCCAGATCCCCCCCGACTGTGGCTCCCCGTCACCGTTACTCTCAGCGACCAACATGTTGTTGTCATCCTCTCCTACAGGGGGTAACACATGTGTGAGTGGTGCAGGAATGAGTTCTGAAACTAGGGAATGAGCTAGCATTTTGGCCCTTCCAGTCCATTGTCTTGAAGTCAATGTTTTTTGATTATCTTTGGATAAAAATAAGGTCTGTGGTTAACACAAGCTTACAAAATTGCCACGTTTTGTTGGAGACAACATGAAGCTCCTATGAGTCATGATAATGCTAACGAGTGGCTAAATGAAACCACTAAACGTAATCACGCCGAACATTAGCCACCTTTAGCTTAGCGGTGGTAATGCTATTTCATGTGACATGATGTAGCTTGCTTATAGCGTTATAGCTGTAGCGTTAGCTTTTTCCTTCTAGTGATTGGATTTAAGCTTCAACTTTTATACAAGTGGTGTTAATATGTGGAGATTATCCTGCTGAACAAAAAGTGTAAGTATCATTAATGTGAGTTTGCTATAAAGTATGTTTTCTTCAATAATCTAAAATCCCATTGTTTTTTGTCGCGGGAGCCCTTGCGATGCTTACTTTCGGGTCTAAAATATAGTCTCATGTACATCTCACCTTTGTGCAGTGGGATGGGTTTTATGAGGTTCTGCTGCCCTTGAACAGCAGCAGGACTCTTCCCTGCCGGCACATGGTTGTTGTTCACTGGTGGAGTTTGCGGTCGCCGCAGTAACGGGGACATGCTCCGCCTCCTCTTCATCGTCGTACTCGAGTTGGAATCGTTGGAATTTCCTCTTTTCTTGCTTTGAGGGCCCGCAACAAACTCATCTGCCTCGTCGATCATCATCCCCTGGGATAAACATGCAGGAAAACAAACAAAAAAGTAAGAAGGGATTAAATATTTAATGAATATGCACCTTATGGTAAGAAGGTTGAGGCAGTATTTTGCAGTGATGTATTTGTACCTTCTTGTCCTGCTTGAAAGGATTCCCGAATGTGTGCAGACGCTTAGGTTGGTCGGGGTCGATCTCTCTCAGAGGAGACGGCATCATTTTGAGATACTCCTGATAGTTTCCCATCTGAGCCACCGGGATACTGTGCAGATAGTCTGACAACCACAGGAAGTATTATTAGTACTAACTTAGTACTGTATATGCGGTATTTGTAAATTGGGGTTAATATCATTTCAATTGACGAAGCAACTGCATTGCAAAGCCGCCTATGAATATTTTAAGATTTTTAATTCATTGTAGGATTGTACACTTTATCACAAGAAAATTATGAAACAAACACCATTTATTTACAATTGTGGAGAAATTTGACCAACATTTTCAGATATATAAAATATTTCATTGCTGCAAATAAGAATCAAAACATGATTGCAGTTGGTTTCACAATATACATCTGTTAATGCATTCAGTAATTATTTAAAAGATGAGCCTATAACCAGCTATTTGAGGATTCTTGATTGCAATGTCCCAAAAAACGATTCCCTCTGCTTATGTGTTAGCATTTTTCAGACTTTAAAATATTTTATTTCAAACCAGATAAGGCCATGTATTTAGGTTGATAAATTCAATGCATTTTAAGATTTGTAATTATCGTTGGGAACCCTGCTTTCCAGTGTGATTACCTTCGTCTTGCCCTCGGATCAGTTTTTGCGACGTCCGCAGCAAGTTGGAGCGCATCCTCGTGAGTTGATCCAGAAGATTCCGCCTCGGGATGTCGTACGCATTTCGATAAGCTTGAGGTTTGAGATCCTGTGAACACATCAGCATATCTCGTCAGAAAAAAACCTCCAGTAAACACTGGACTTGCCCCCCAACACTAAGTGGTGCATTTAAAAAACCCTACCTTGTTGAGCAGGGCGATCTGGAAGCCAGCGAACTCTTTGAAGTTCATGTCGGCCAGGCGCAGCGGGCCCTCCCCGGTGATGCCCTGCAGCAGCTGCTGGAAGTCCCGCCGGTGGGCCAGAGAGAGCGTGGTGGAGTGGTTCTTCACCTTGATGCCCGTTTCCTGGGGAGCCTTCTTCCCCACAGACACGATGAGACGATCTGATTCCATCTTTGCCTTTGGACCAACAAAACAGGAACATTTCTTAGAGCAGGAACACACCAAAGCATGCTGGGGTTCACCTTCCTATGTTGATTCTTCTTCATGGATTATCTGTACCTTATTGATCCCAAACTGGGAAATTCATTTTGTAAAAGCAGCAGCTGGTTAACATGGGATTGCACATGTTTAGTGCTGCACATTTTGGAAGAAATAGCTATCTGCGTTTATTTTTTACTGCCTTTGCAATTGTGCTATAATTCATGATATTGGAGGGATTGATCATATTGCATCATTATTCTGATCATCATTGAAAAATATATGAAAATGATCGTGGTGTGATTTTTTAAGAGGGTCTGTACCGAAAAAGATATGGGTTAATTCTGTAGAATACAATTTGTTACAATATTTCCTACAAAATGTTATTTTAACTGTTAGCATTTAACAATTTAAAGTTAAAATTGCGATTTCGATAACATTTTGATTACTCGTGTAGCCCTAAATTTGTTAAAAATAAAATAAATAGTAAGTATATACATTTCCACCTTAGAAAGATATATATATATATATATAGAATACAACATAATAGACCAAGCTACTACTAATAAAATATGACCATAGGATACTTTATTTATTATATATAAATACTTTATGTATAAACTAGTAGTTAAACTTCCAATTTTAATATTTACACATGTATTTATATACTATACATAATGAACAACTCAAAGTGTGTACCTGCTGGCTGAGCTTCTTCAGGTAAGAGATGACACTGTAACTCAGGCCGCAGTCCATAGTGTCTGCAATGAGATTAGGGGCACCCATCATCCTCAGCGCCTTCTTTAAGGGCTGTCAGAAGATAGCAAGAGGACATTATGGTTAGTTAGAACAATACAAATCCATGCAGTGCACTGTTACTGAAGGCAGTGTAGGTGGTTTACCAAGAGGAAGTATGGAGGCATTGTCTTCAGGTACATCTCGAACGACTGTCTCCACTTCAGGTTTGGTTTTAGTTTGTGCACTTTGAATAAATCATCTGGAAGGAGACACAAAGGAGGAGTCAGCCATCCACCTGCACATCCTGCTGCTGTACATTCATCAGCTCAAAACACTCACTACCATTACTCCGAAAATAATATTACACAACCTTATGTTAATTGTTGCTTCTAATTTTTCTAATCCTAATTTCTTGAATAAAAACAGACTTTTATGGTTTTTGGTTAAAATAAAAATAAATGATTATAAAGGGCTATAGTCAACTGGAATCTGTACATTGCTTGCATTACATTTATTTTTCTCTTTATTTTAATGTTGTTGGTATGTTAGTATTATTGCAGCCCCTGTGCATTGCTTTGTATGTGACATCCCCCCTTCTTTTTTTGATATGTTAAAGAAAAGTATTTTTATCATAAAGTGAGTTGTTATTTTACCATAAAACTCTTTTGACAGTTTGATAACTCACAAGAGGGCAAATGTTTTTATAAGCTATGCACATTATTATTTAGGAATAATAATTTATGAGTGTAGCTGTTGTTAGACTATATATGTTAGTGTTTATAGCTAAAGATGAGTGTGTTAAAAAGGTTTCAGATGAAGAAATGACCCAGAAAGAAATGTCTAAATGTAAAATAAGCTCAGACCTAGTGACCTAGAAGTTTTGAGGCCACTTTAGAGGAGCTGTTTGCGGCCGTGTGTCTTACCGAGCAGGGGGAGCAGCACGGGGTAGTTGAACGGCATGACGAACAGGTTGACACAGGTGAGAGTGGTGCTGGCTTTGAGGTAGCCGAAAGGCTGTCCCATCTCACTGGGCTTCCCGCTGCTGCTAACAAACACCTGAGGAGACAAAGGAAAATATGAAATACCGTTTTTGTTATTGGGTTTTCTATATTTAACTTGTCCAAACTTCGTAAGTAGAACTGTAACGATTTGTAGGCTGATTAACTAGAGGATTGACAGATAATAGCCACCAACTATTTAGATAAACAATTCATTATTAAAGTAATTTTTCATGCAAAAATGGCAGAAAATTATGTTTTCAGCCTCTGAAATAGAGATTGCCTGCTTTTATCTGTTATATCATATTAAACTGAATGTGTTTGGGAAAAAAAACACATTTAAAGACAACAAGCTAAGATGGACATTTTTCACTATTTTGTATTTTTTACATTTTGTAGACCAAGTTAACTAAAAAGAAAAAATGCATATAAATCAATTATTAAAGTAATCTGGTATTTGCAGCCCTATCAATAAGTGAGGCTCAATCACTAATTCAAAACTACCAAAAGGTGGAAATATATGATAAATAAAGCGAGAAACCTCATTGTTTCCAGTTTTGAGAAAAGTCCTGACGGCATAAGCGCAGATAGTGGAAAACAAGCTGATTGTTAGTGAGTGTGAACATCTGCCATACCTGCCAGCACATGTGAGGAGACTTCCTCTCCAGGATGAACTGGGTGAGGGGGGAGGGCTCCAGCTCGTACTTGTCAAAGGGAAGCTTGTCGATCACCATGGGCTCGCAGTCCACACAGGAGAACCGCACCACAGGATGGGCAGAGCGGGGGGGCTGCGGGCAGGGGATGGAGTTAATAGAAGAAGTCGTTAAACATAACATCATTATCTGAGGAATGGTTTCCGTGTGGCGTCTTTGTAAAAGCATCAGATAATTAGGATCACAGGATGAGTTTGGACTGATGAGCAAGACACTTGTTTATATTTGCTGAACGAAGACGAAAACGTGCTTTTTTAAATCCCCAATTTTAGCCGTGTTGTTATTTGACATGACATCCCACACAAAGGGTCCGAACACACAAACACACAAACACACACTTAGGGACCTCTCTAGCCACACTCAACACTCGGTCTGATTGGGACTTGAACCAGCAACCCTCCAGTTCCCAAGTCACTACAAACTGAGCTACTGCCGCAAAGTCAGTAAGTTATGACTAATATTAGGCAGAGAGAATAAGAGGACTGATCATTAAGAAAGAAGAACAAATAACGGAGAGAAGAGAACGTTTGTGTAGAACGTATTAACCAGTGGCGAGCCGTCAGGGCCCTCTAGGCCCTTAGTGAGGGCCTAAGATATTCTAAAAAATAATATTTAAAAAAATGTTTTTAAATAGTATTTTTTATATTTTTTTGTTGTTACATTTTTCATTAGTTTTACCAAAATAACTTGATTTAATTGTATTTAAAATAACATTTCCAAAGGAATAAATCCTTCGAATCTGCCTTTTCAGTTTCTGTTGGAATGTGAAGGGTTAAATGCCGTCTCTGCGAGTTATGTGAAGACGGGAGAGCTTGTTGGTCCCTCTCTACATTCACAGAGGGCCAGCTATAGTAACTCAACGAGAGAGTAATGTCAAATGACAGTACAATTGACCAATCATATCTGAAGTTTATGCATGTGTCGAGTGGCGAAGTCACGCCCATCTACTTCCGCCCCATGGGACCTTATTTCTGAAAAAGTATGTATTGAAGTCAACGGGAGAGAAAGATTATCTTTCGATCCCGTTTGAATTGTGCCATGAATTACACATATGATGCTTGTCAATCTTAAAAAATCATTTCCATGTCAAAAAAGTCACAGTTTGTCGTAAAACTGTTGAAATATAAGACTATGAAAAATACGCAACTAGAAAGACTACAAATCCCAGAATCCCGGTCCCGCATGCTGGCTCTCACGGAACCGACTAACTCCCCTTGTGTGTATGTACAGCTCTCAACATGCCCAGACTTGGAGTGATTTTCACCTCTTTTAATACTTTTCAGCTCATTCTGAAAGAAAGAAGTGAAATGTTCCAACGTGACGGCCGTCTTGGTGTGTCCTGCGAGACCAGAGATGTAGTTCATTGAGCGCTTCACACAAACAAATGTGTTACTTCACAGTTTTACGACACATTTAAAAAAAAATGTACTTGCAAAATTATCTTTTAAATTGACAAACATCATATGTGTAATTCGTTGCAAAAATCAAACGGGATCGAAAGATAATCTTTCTCTCCCCATTGACTTCAATACATGATTTTTCCGAAATAAGGTCCCATGGAGGTCCCCCGGAAGGGGAGGGACTTCGCCTCTCTATAAGGTGGTGCAGTGACGTCTGTGTGGTAGAGGGTCGCTGTCATTGATGCGTTTTGCACCCCGGGCCGCTGTTTTGATATTCCGCTGAAGTATACGCTGTGACGCAGAGATGTTCACAAGTCTTTTTTTGCAAGTCCAAGTCAAGTCTCTGGTCACGAGTCCAAGTCAAGTCTCAAGTCTCTAAAAAATAAAAGTATCATGTCTCTTCTGGTTGTAATAAGCCTTCTATTGTCTGCTGCTATCCAGTCTGTTAAGAATACTGCACAGCTATATCTAAGAAATGCAAAGCATTTACTGTATTATTATCACTCCTATATCTATTAGCATACAGTATCAGTACTGATTAGTTGTTTGTTATATGATCACTTTAAACAGGCTATTGCAATGCAATATGAGGAAAAACATCACACTTTAGCTAAATGCAAACAACTTATAAGCAAAACACTTCAGAATCAGAAATCAGTATCACAAATACTTTATTAATCCCCCGCAGGGAAACTGTGTTAAAAGTACTTAAAAGTAAACATTTGTTCTGTGCCATTTGCAACTAAAAAACTATTGCTGCAATATTATCTGAAATATACTGAACTGGTGATATTAAAACATGACCTGTTCCAAAAGAGATATCTACCATTAACACCATTTGCTGGTAAATCATGCAAGTGGCTGGTACTGTATGTTGCACGCACCAGCCACAAATAACAATGGCAATCTATTGAGTGGCTGGTAACATTTCAACATTCACTAGGCTAGCCATTTGGCCAGTGGACAAAAATGTTAAAATTTGACCTCTGCAACCGTATTGTTGAATTACACTGGGTCTCTAATGACATCTTTTAAGTCTACTATAAATAAACATATTCCTCTATCCTCTCACTCAAACCCAGTGTAATGGTAACCTGATAAACCTGTAACATTAACGTTACGTGGTCAACAATAAACCTGTAACCTGCCTATAAACCGACAGATGTATTTATGTATGTAACTATGTATTTTTCTACGTTTAACGTTAGCCAGTAGATGGTGGCAGCGGAACGTAATGATTAACGTTACCGACCTTTTTTATGTCATGTCAAGAGTTGGATGTCAACGCCACTCAACGCAAACAAGTGTGACAAGCAAACATTCACTCATCTTTTCAAATATTCAGTTACAAAGCTAGTAGCAAGCTAAGTTAACATTACATAGCTGATGCTGAGCTAAACATGTTTGCTAACCGTCCATATGCGTTAATGTGACTGACCTCTCCGGGTGAGTTTTCAAGTGCCTGATGACATTTGACGTTGTTGCACCAGCATCCTTGATTTTAATATTGCAGACTTTGCAGTGTGCGCTCCTTTTGTTGGTGCCGTCGGCGTTTTGTTCGAAGTTTTTATAGTTGAACCTAATTACAAGCGGTACAGCAGCAGGTGTGCCGCCGGTCGCCATGGTGTTACCATGATGTTAATGTTAAAGGTGGGGTAGGTAAGTTTGAGAAACCGGCTCGAGATACACTTTTTGTTATATTCCATGGAATGCTCTTAACATCCCGATAGCCGGCCCGGCTAAAGTAACTGGATGGCCTACCTGCCTGTCAGCCTCCCATCGGGGCACAAACTTATCTCGTGCCCTCATTGGTCATGTGTGCGTTCGTGTGTGTTGGAGGAGGGGCTCTGTGAGGAAGTGGCAGATTTTCTCCGGTTGTGTATTTTCAAATTCTAGCGATCTCGAGCCGGTTTCTCAAACTTACCTACCCCACCTTTAATACGCCAAAAATAGAAAACACAATGATTGTTCACGAGTCCCAAAACACGAGTCCAAGTCGAGTCCGAAGTCTTTTGAGCAGGAGTCCAAGTCAAGTCTGAAGTCTCTGTTGCCCCTTTCACACCAGCGCTTTTTCAGCTCCGGCTCGGAGCTGGAGCCTGAAAAGCGCCGGTTTTTCCTGTTCACACCGCAGCGGCGCCGGCTCTTAGCTCCGGAATCGGGTTCACTTCCAGCTCCAAAAAATTGTCGGTCTAGAGGCAAGAGCTTCGGAGCTAAGAGGTGGCGTCGCTTACGTCTCTCTTACGTCGAGGCGTGCAGGAAACTAAACCCTCCTCCCCTGAACATGGGTCGACTGTCATGCCTGCCTACAAGCAGTAGTACTTATAAACTCACTTTATAAAGTCAGGCAACACTAACCGGGCTTCGTGTGATTCTGTTTATTTGTACCTTACTTTGACCATCCGTTCATTGTTATTGATCATTGTGGAGAGAGGCAGACGTGTTGTTTTGTATTATAGCAGCTATCGGATGGAATCAATACATGGGCTGCACAGGTTGTCGTGTCCGACTATCACAAGTAGAATCATAATAAAAATACGCCGGTAAAATGTGCCAGTAGAAAACGGTTTATGCCACAATAGGATAGTAATAGCAAGTAGTCAGTTTAGCTTCGGTTGCTATGCTAACATCACCCATTTTATACCAGACACTTTCATAACAGCGTTGTGATACCAAACAGCGTCAATTCAGACTGAGACACATTCACTTAGGCTAAGGGGAACTGGGGATATGTATCAGCTGCTTGTGTGAGTCGGACAGTGAATACTTTAGAGCGGCCGCTGCAATGTGAGCTAACCGGGAGCTAACGGAGGAGAATAAACTCCCGTGGAAGAGCAGCCAACATTGCCGCGGTCGGTATATGCTGCAGAAACACATTAATAAACAATGAACCACGGCACTCTGGAGCAAAGTATAAGGTTGGAGAAGTCGTTATTCAATTTAATCTTCGTGTGATTAAAAGCAACACGATCATCGACCCGACGCAGTTCCCCATTGTTGTTGTTGTGAGCGCCGTAATGCCTTTGGGGAGCAAATCAGCGATGTAAACGGTGACGTCATGACGCAGCAGCGGCAGCACCAGTCGGGTGCTGGGCGGTGTGAACAGAGCGGGAGCAGAAAAGGGAAACCGGAGCTGAACCAGAAAAGCTCTAGCTCGGAGCTAGAAAGGGAAAAGCGCTGGTGTGAAAGCCGCATGTGTGTGTGCGACTTAAGTGCGACTCGAGTCCGAGTCACAAACTCGAGTCCCCATCTCTGCTGTGACGTAATAACTCTTCTTTTTTTTCGAGGGAAGGGGGGGGGGGGGGGGGGGGGGGGGTGGGGGGGTCAGAGGGCCTAGGTATAAAAGTCACGGCTCACCACTGGTCTTAACACAGAGGTTACCTGCAGATGAAAACAGTGATGTGGGTGCAAACATTTTATTTTTAAGCATCTCTCTGCTCACCAGGTTGGGAGAGTTCTGGTCGGGCCAGAAGGACTCTGGGATGGGCCAGTGCCCGACCGGGACCCCCGTCTTGGGGTTTGGTCTCACGTAGATGAGTTTGTGGCAGCTGTGCCACGGCTGAGCGCTGAAGGAAGACACGGGACGACTTGGCTCTGCGGAGTTCTCTTTAAATACAAAAACATATATCATATAAGGGAGAATACATTTCTCTAACAAATAATGCAAACAGTTGTTCTGAATTGGAGAACAAGCCCTGATATCCATAAGTCCGTTTTTGGTTTTAGAGGAAATAACAGGTTGGGACTTTTTCTTGAAGAACAAAGTATTTCTGTGTTCTTGCCTATCATTCCCATGAATGTGAATATGCGTTAATCACTTCCAAAATGTTTTCTAAACCTCTGATGTACCTTACAGTACAGTTTTTGTTCAAATGTTTTTTTTTAAGTAAGAACATAACTCTTCTTCTACCAGTAAAATAATGTGTGACTCGTTATCTCACAACATTTCTTCCCCTAGCCATATTTGTATACTCCTCTATGTTTGGTTGGTGTAGAAAATGCATTCAGTTCTCCTTTTAGTGGTGAACTGCACTGTTGGGATAGAAGATAAGAAGATTCTCTTCTGCTTTCACCTTTCTCCCCACGGTGTCTTTGCTCTAACCTTAAAATGTGATGACATGAATTGTTCAGAAACTCTTGTTTTATGCACTTGCCTGGAAACGTTTCTGTTCATCAAAATGTCATGACTGCTTCTGTGTTCACTGTTCTTCATATACATATGTTTGTATGTAGAGCTGTACTTCATGTATCTTTATTTATTGAAGGAGTCTATTAACGTTTTCCAATTAGGCTTTGAAAGCCTGTCGTCATATTTTATAATGTCATCACATTGTTATTGTTGTGGTGATATAAATGTGATGATAGTGCCTTTAATACAGGCCTCCCTTTGAGTGCTGCAGTATTTTAACCATAATGTTTTTTTTTAATGCTTTTGGATGACAGTATGAATTCACGCAGGATATATTGTTGGATGAAAGATGTTGTGAAGGTTTGTATTAATATTCACACAAAAGCTTTGAAGTCTTTGAAAATGTTCCGATGACAGTAGTAAACAGTCCTACGCAGCTACAGTTAGGATCTATTTATATTAGATAGTATAACTCCAATACTATTAGCCTTGTCTTTTTCTGCAACTGTGGAGAAATTCTGGTTTAACCCTCCTATTGTCTTCGTTTTCCCCCCCCCCCCCTTACTTTGGTGTTCGCGGGCAAATTTGACCGGTCCTGTTTTAACTGCTATTACATTAACACAAAAACCATTAATCATCACCAAATTTTATTTAACACCCTTTTCAAACTGTACATATTGTATCAGACTACTGGTATACATGAAACACTGCAGTTAATATACAAAGAATAGTCACTGAACATGTATTGCGTGTGCCAGGTGTGATCCATGTGGGGGGATGGGCACATAAAGGGGGGACACACACATCTAGAGTATATATGTGTGTGTGTGTGTGTGTGTGTGTGTGTGTGTGTGTGTGTGTGTGTGTGTGTGTTATCTGATCCGGATGGTTACTAATTCCTTTTCTTAATGGCGGTAATTTTTGACCGGGAACACCATGGGTGTTACAAAGTTGACTAAATCATCCAAAATTCAATGAAAGTGCTGATCAGCAATTGTATATGTTCAAATGTCTACTGTGAAGGATATCATAAAGCCTGAATGCAATCGAATGTAAAATAAAAAAGTTATGATTGATGAAAGTAGTAAATCGGTCAGATTTGACCCAAACACAACAGGAGGGTTAAAAAAGAATGACATGCAAAAAAGAAAAGGCTGCGCAGCCTTCAAATGTTGGTTTAGAATTTGAATGTCAACCAGAAATATTTGTTTATTCATAACAATGTTAAGAGGGTAATTCAGAGTTGAAGTGGTTGCGTCCTTTCAGTGTTTTACTCACCTTCACCAATGAGAGGCGGATCCGGCCCTGTCTTCTCAAAGTTAATGACGACACCACTTTGAACCTTTTGGACCAGAGACTCCAGACACTGGTTCAACATCCTCTGAGTCCGCACACAGTACGACCGCCCTGAGGGAAACAGCAGGAACAATCAGAATCAGAATGCCTTTATCCTGGGGGGAATTGGGTTTTGTGTCAGTTGCTGCATTTTAGAATAAAATATACAAATATAAAGAAATAAAGTGAAAACAAATGGAATTAAATATAAACATAAAAGGTTAAAGCGTTAAATAAAAGATAAAACAAAAATAGAATAGAACATATTTATTAAAGAAGAAATAAGTAATAGTAAAAATGTGCAATAAAAAGATGAATAAAAAAAACATATGAAGATAGAGTAAAAATGTGCACATCCTTCAATATAAAACAACAATAAGTCTGTGCTAGCAAAAATGAAGTCTGGTATCCAAAAATGCGTTGAACAAATATTGCTTTAAGTATGGTTGCCCATACCCATGTGACCCAACTGATCCCGCCCATATTTGATGCAGAAATAATACGTTATAATATTATAAACAAAGAACAATGCCAACATTTAAACATTTAAAAAACCCAATAAATCATCAGCAGAAATCCCAACTCTGACATTCCTGGCTCCTACAGTAAGTCAAAATGTGTATTTTACAATATTAGTTTTTTTTGTGATATTTGTCAATAAGTATTAATATAGATACTAATGATGAACTGCACAGTTAAAGAAGGTGTTTAGCTAATAATGAATTGTGAGTGTAAAAGAATAACCCTAATCTGAAACTAACTGCTGGGAAATACAGGGCAGATGTGAAGGTGAGTAGGAGAAAGCAGAACCTCCGGTGACTTCACACATCTGGGTGATGGCGGACTCGTCTGTGGGGACGCTGCCGAGCTGCTCCGTGTCCGGTGTGGACGCTCCTGGCAGCCGCAGCACCAACGCAAACAGACGCTGGTCCCAGCGGAAGGGCTCCTTGGTCAGCTCGCTGCCCGCCAGTGGAGAGTTCAGAGGCAGGTGCAGCTGCAGGGGCGGGGGAGGAGGAAGATGGGGAGGAGTTAACTGGGATAAGATGGAAGGGATAACGACATCTGCAGAAGAATGGGCAACATAGAGTGGTGCAGGGATTGTGTGTTTTTGTTGGTAGACCTGAAAGCTACCATTGCAAGGTCTCTTTTATAGAAGATGAAGCGCAAATGTTAACGTTAGGCTATTACGGCCCGTCCACACAGCGGCATGCGTTGAAGCTTGCCGGCGGGCATGTCTGAAACTCGACCAACAACCAATCACATGAATCTCCCGCCCCGGACACACAAGCAGCGGTTTGATTGGCTAGAGCTTGTACTGGCATATGATTCGATTGGCTGACGCTTCTGCCGAGGCTTCAAAAGTTGAACATTGCTCAACTTTCGCAGCGAGCCACGCCGGCAAAGCTCCGCTTCGCTTCCCGCAATGCAGTTCGGCGAAAAGTGACGTCACCCCATTCAAAGTGAATGGTGAAGCTTTCAACGCACGCTGCTGTGTGGACGGGCCGTAAATGAACTACATTATGGCCCACTGACTTCACCTCATCGCCACTAAGCGAATGGCAAACTTGTGTTCGGGGTGATGAAACGCCATTTTGTAAAGATGTGTAAAACCTTCAACAGTGGGGTATTAACTTGCATATTTTATGTTGTAGAACACAACTTTAACATTTATTTGTTTAGGTATTTAAGCAAAAACCCATTCAAAAAAACATTGACTTCAAGGTGAGCAAACCAGAAGGGCTGAAATGCTAAATCATTTCCGTGTTTTAGGACTCATTTCTACACCACTCTGTATGGATGCATCACTGCATGAGGGAGTTTAGTTGAAAACGCTGATGAGGTTGTTTCTTTTTTTACACACTATGATTGTAACTCCCCAGTGTGCTGGAGAGACTGTGAAAATGCATATATCAACTGCATTATCAAATTGGAAAGGCAAGATTTCTAGAGAGGAATACATCATATTTTAGAAAAGATTTTCAGTGGCCGGATAGTATGATCTTATTTTTTCCAACTCATACTTCAAGAATGGCTTAAAAACAGACAAATACTTGCTGGTAGTAGTTACAAATGCTCTTAGGGAGGACATTGTTAACGCTGGAGAGCCCAACTTTAAATGCATGGATGGACATTCAGATGAAGAGAATTATTTGTGTCTGGGATAACTGGGTTGACTGTGTAATAGCTCCCTAACGGCCAGATTTTATCTTTGCAAATGTATCAAATAGATCCTAGTTATTAATATGTTTTTATTTTTCTCAGAAATCTTAATAGATAACATGTACAAACAATATTTGAAACTCATAAATGATATATATTTAGAAAATAAATCTGCCAGTGGTCACTGTTATACTACGTTATCACTCGGGTCATTACACAGTCCAAACAAATGCATTATAAAACAGGACATTGTAGCACGCCTGCATTTGTTTTTGCTCTCACCTCATCTGGCACCCCAGAGCTGTGTGTAAGCTTGTTCCCATCAGTGATGGTGATGATCACAGATGGCTCGAGGAAGAAGGGGTTACGGCCCTGAGACCGAAACAGTGACATTTTAAGAAATTAGAAACAAGTGCACACAAACAGTGACCCCATTTTTTCTCACTGGCCTGCAATCTTTAATGTTCTGCACTTAGTGTATTCAAACTTTTCCAATCTCCCAAAACATAATATGTAACTGGCCTCTCGTGCTGACAGTCATTTGAATATAATACCATAATTAAACAGAGGTCTACTTAAATGGTCTGCAAAGGCTAAAATCCCAAAGTTCTCGCCAGATTGGAATCCTTTGTTTACTTCCACGGTGACAACGCTATATGTACCAGGCATGCTGGCTAGCACTCCAAAACATTGTACCTGATAGGCTAAGGGTTTGGACATCTCTAAGTGGTTGACTAATCACAACAGAGCCAGCCAGCTAACCAATCAGAGCAGACTGGGCTCTGGTTTCAGACAGAGGGTGAAAAGAGGTGCTGCAGCACAGGCAGTATGAGAGAAATAAAGAGCTTTTTGAACATTACACTTAATACAAATCTGAACCTGAAAAAGAGCAGAATATGGCCCCTTCAATATGAACCTTTGTTCACTGAAGAGTGCCCTTGAGTTACTAGTTAAGGATAAAGGCATCCAGCGCTGTGCTGTAGAGGTCAGCCTTGACCAATTACACACACACACACACACACACACACACACACACACACACACACACACACACACACACACACACACACACACACACACACACACACACACACACACACACACACACACACACACACACACACACACAGAGATTTAGTAGATGCACACTGACAGATGCACAGAACTTGTGACACTACTCAAGCTTAGTAATCTCTCTCTGGCGTGAAGAAAGCGATGTGTGTGTGAGGAGCTGAGCACAGTGCTAGCTGAGGAAGAGAGGGGATGAAGCTGAAATAAATAGTTAATGTTTTTTTTTTTTCAAGGTAAAGGAATGAGCTGTAAGCTTTGCTATATTTTTATATCATTTGTTCATCAAGGGAAAGTCCAATTATACCGTATGTTTTGGCTGTTTATAACTTAATTAAAGTTTGTCTATTTTGTTAATAATAGTTGATAATTGACTATCTTATCATTTTTTATATGTACATATTTAATCTTATTTCTGCAACTAACCTCAAACATTTTTGACTAGTGCACTATTCTATTGCACTGTTTTTATGACTTGTGCTTTTATAGGTATATATCATTTGTTGCATTATGGGAAGAACTTGAGACTAAATGTTCATTGCAAAAACTTTGCTGTAGCTACTGTTACAAAAAAAGCCTTTGAAATAATGTTAATTGAGGATCTGATGATTAACCAATTCCTTAATGAACTAATGGTTTGAGCTTTATTTAAAACAACTGTTAACCCTTAGAAACACAACACTGGAACTATAGATAGTAATGAGTTATTTTAGTTTTCTCATATAGCAACTGCTGAGAAATACATCAGGTTGCCATGGTAATACCTGTCCGTAGTTGTCGATGCCTGAGACGAGGCGGTTGAGGTTGAGCAGGTCGAAGGCTGTGCGGAGAGCGTGCCCTAACGTGGTGAGGCCGGACGCCTGCAGGTTCTTCAGCTCGCACATGAAGGTGGAGTGGTTCTCCTTCCAGCCTGCCTGAACACACACACACACACACACACACACACACACACACACACACACAACACACACACACACAACACACACACACACACACACACACACACACACACACACACACACACACACACACACACACACACACACACACACACACACACACACACAACACACACACACACACACACACACAGACAGATAGAGAGCTGAACATCAGGCAGAACGACAACTGAGGAGGCCTGCTGCATACAGTACACCGTTAACAGCCACCAAACCAAAATAGATCCACGCCCACAGACACCCGTACACTGTAATTACACAGAAAAACAGAACGAGTTTTGTTCGCTGAAAAACCACAACCTCATTCTTGTCGAGCATGTGACTGCCACCTTTGGTTAGGGGAGTTTAAATCTTAGCAACCAGTTCATTTTGTGCAACATGACATAACAGCAACCATTACATGAGATCAGTTTATGGCAAATCCTGCAAAAGGAAGATATTGTTGTTGAATTGAAGACCCACATTTGCGTTGGATGGTGCTTTTATTTAAAAATGAGTCTAATTTCATACTTGACAAGCATCCAGAAATACATTTCCCACTGCTGCCTGTCCTCTGTGACGGAGAAATACTCCCACAGGAAGATGTGGCTGTGCAACTGCTCTTGGTAGTTTCACCAGCGAGGTCAAGTACCTTACTACAGCATCATGCCTAATCTAAGGATGGCCTGCTAGATTACTACGTCCTCTATCAGGAGAGGGAGGCTCAACACACAGATAGAGATGAAGAGTAAAAGAGAAGTGAAGAAATGACAGTGTGAATGATAGATTTGATTTGGTGGACCCTACACTGAATCACTGGCTTTAATGCGTCAAAGAAAGGGAAAGTTTGAATTGGATTTACAAGTTGAATAAAATCCATTATTATATGACATTTGTTGAACAATTTAAAGATTGAGTGGCTCAAAGAATGAATGAATGTGTCTGTTTTAAATTCAAGAGCATGACATTTTGAGAGAATGTTTACATTATGAACGCCTATTATTGAAATGAGGAACCATTTTTCCTGCTAAATGTGAAATATTCTGCTTTTTTGTCACTTATCTTTCCTGCAGTGTGTTATATAGGTTTGTGTGCATGTAAATGGTCTGCAGAGGCCATGGTACCTGTTTTTTTCTCTCCCACACTCCCCCACTGTCTGAAACGCCTCCATTGGACTCCTTCGTTTATTTCCTTAACATAATGACATCACTATATAACCCTCACACTTCTATTGGCTAGCGCTCCAACACATTTTATGTGATAGGCTAAGGGGCGGGACATCTCTAAGCGGTTGACCAATTACAACAGAGCCGACCAGCTAACCAATCAGAGCAGACGGGGCTCTGGTTTCAGACAGCTTTCTGAACATTAAAGCATGGAGACATGTCCCAGTAGAGACATGAAATACAAATATGAACCTACAAATAAGCATCATAGGGCCCCGGTAAGATGTTAGAGAGAAAAGTTATACTGTGCATGTTGTTATAAAAGAGATAAACGTGTTGCTGTTTAAATCAAGTTTTTACGTTAACATTTTTGGGAGGAGCTGAGAATGAAAAAACATGGCGTATATATAATAATAAAGAATGTGACATAGGTTGTGTATCATTCCAAAGGCATGCATTTGAGGGAATTTCTAGAAAAGCTTAGTGTTGCATGATGTTAAATTCATATTTTACAGTCATGCCGGCAACATCACGGAGCAGCTTGGGTAAAACTCAAGGTGTGAACGTAAACATGGGTAGTAGAATAATAATATCCCAGACATACACCCTTGTGTAGGCCAGTAAAAATGTAAGGCTTAGCTCTCACTCAATAATTCAGACTAGAGAATATTTATATTTCCCTCTCACCCAGCCTCCTCTCTCTCCCTCTACATAAACAATGTATTGCCTCTGTAACTGTGCAATCAGAGTAGCCCCATTCAGTATAACCTTGTCCTTTCATCATAATCCTCAGTGTACAGAGCCAGCAGAAACAACAAAGGAGAAGGAGATGAAGACAAAGAGAGGAAGAGCAGGAGGGAGAGGAGTTGAGGACAGACTTTACAACAAGGGGATAGCACTTCTAGTTGTTATAGCTACACAAGATTATTTTAGTGAAGCAATGATCTGGGCAAATGCTGCAAGGTCAATGGCAGAGTGAAGTAGGAACAACTCATAACCCCTGTCCTACACATAGGCCTACAGCAGGAGAAAGGCAGGTATATAATAATGTTTTAGTGATGGGGTTAATGAGCAGCTTAATACGTTTTTTAGGAAGTCCATCAAGCGACACAAAACAGTTGTTTAGCTTCCTGCACTGCTTTGATTAACTATAAGCAAGACTGTACATTAGTTAATAACTCAAAACTCTGTGATGAAAGAGCAGTAAATATATTTCAATAACCGTTGATTGTTTATAATTATATTTAAAAAAGGAAGGAACTGCTATCAAAAATAGCTCTGCTTATTTATATGAAGTATGGGTTGCATTTATATCACCGTGCAAAATAAAAATTATTATTTCGCACACTGAAGCTCCAATGATTAAGTCACTTCTCCAATACTATCACCCCTTGCCCATATTTAATTATTCAAACGTTCTCTTTTTTCATGTATCCCAAAGCCTGAGCATAATGAACAATGCAAAATGATATACTTTATTATCATGTAATAAAGGCTGTATTGTAGCAGCATATGTTCTTGTGCACGCATGGTTTTAATTAAAATCATATTTAAAAGGCGTAGAGATATCGAATTAAGTAGGTATTACCAGTACCTTTGGACCTGCATGCAAACGTGTGCCATAAGCATAAAGCCTCATCTATCTTCTAAATCTCAAACCATCTACTGCTATTACATGAAGTAATGAATGACTTTCCAGGGTTAGGGTTATGTAATTTAGTCAGGAGACATGTAAACAAAACCAAAAAAACTAAGGAGAACGAACTATTATGTACCTGTTGTAAGTATCAATGGGATGGGAGTAAGTAATGCATAATGTGTTGAGTCTTTTGAAGATAGTTATACACAAGCTAAGATACTCCTAACACAGATCAGGCACTAAAGCACATCAGGGGCTTAGGGGTTCATGTGGGTACTAAGGATTGTCTTTTATTGGGCATGAAAACCTCAGAGAGATGTGTGCCAGCTCATAAAACAAGTCTATTGATTTCTGGTGAGGATGGCTTTGCTGACATGAAAACCCTTAAATTATTACAGTGATTCACAGTTTGCAAGTCTGGTTGTTTTGCATGTGTGACTATGAGAAGTAAAGTGTTTGTATGCTGGGACATCGTATCGGTATGACAAATAATGAATAATGATAATGTTCTACTAGCGAACTCACATTAAAAAAAACTCATGATGAATGGGGCTTATCAACTTTCAGCCCAGACTGGCCAATGGTAATGCGTGGATGATGCAAGAGGAGGAGTAGAGGGTGATTGGCGGGCTCGTTGACCAATCAAAACATTGTACTTTTAAAAAAAGAGCGACGTCATAGGTGATAATCAATCTCTCCGCCTCCATCTCAACGCCCGAGACTTTGCTCAACACAAAAGCAAAATGTCCGCTGGAAAGGTCGGAGGCAGTGCAGCTCCGGGTCTGCGGTTATTTGGAGCAAAAAAATTGCCGTTTTTTCGCCACCGGGAAGCCGCCCAACACTGACTACAAACCAGAAGGACAATAAAGTCTCACTGACAGAAAAATACGTTCGACTGGTCAAATGTAAAAACTGTATCAGTTGCTAATTACCTTCACTCCGTATGGTGGATCATCGAATGTAACTAGCATGTACCTGTCGCCTCTACTAGCCGGGTCTCGGGCACGCAGCTGTCAAAAAAAGAAAACCAAAACAACATATATTAATTTCGACCGATCTTGCCCAAGGAACCCTATCCACCAAGGGTGCACACTGCTGGAAAAAAATCGGGTAAATCATTTTTTACCTTCATAAAGACCTCAACCGCGCCTTTAGCAACGTCCAGATACGTCGTACCCAAATAAGTGCGCTGATTCATAGAAGCGGACGTGTCTAACAGGAAGAGTAAAATAGGCATTTTTTAAATGTAAAGCCGCGGTTGTATGCTTTTCTAAAATTACTGTTATCCACATGTGCCCTATCGTGCGGCCAAACAGTTCACACATGTGTGTATATTTGTTATAATAAGCCCCCCCTCCTGAAGAGGGCCGTTGCCTCCGCTCCCTCTCTATCTGCCTTTCTAGAGCTCTGTCTCGGCTCGCGCTGTTCAACTTCTCCTCCTAACCGAAAGGAACACCCCGCTCTGTCCGCTGCCAGGCCATTGGCTGAGCCGGATTCTACTGACCACGCCCCCTACAATATATAAATATATAACGAGGTCGAGATGGCGGGTGTGTCGGGTGTGTGTACAGTACATCCGCCTACCGTTTCAATTGTGTGTATGCTAAACGGGTGGGTATTACAAATCATTGTCCATGCCTCTGAAGTGTATTTGAATACAATGTGATTCTTAGCACAAATAGCCCATATATTCTGTCTTGACACCAGTCAACTGATAACGTTGTAGCTGTATATCGCATTAATAGACCTACAATGTCTTGAAATGTCATGCCAATTCCCTTGTATCCCGCCCCCAACACGCATGCACGCACATACACATACATGGACACATACATGGACACATACATGGACATACACACACACACACAACCTCTCTCTCTTCTCTTGCTGCGTTCAAGGACCCTACAAATATGTGTCTTTCCAACTCTTAACACACCATAACAAGAACACGTGCAGTTACATTGCCTATCTATGTTAACACAACGTTTAAGTAAGAGATAAATAAAGTATATGAAGCAAGTGTCTTGTTCTGTATGTTGTAAGGGGAAAACCCAGAGAAAGTGCACATTCATGTTCGAAGCTGCGTGAAGAGATGGAACATACACACACACACACACACACACACACACACACACATATATATATATAATATATATATTCAAACATGCACGAATAATATTATAGCGGAATCATAACAGGGAAAATGGTATCTTCACAATCAAGCCTCTAAAATCATAAAAGGCACCGCGTGTTCTGCATGTGCTTTCATGATATTAATAAATCCGAAAGCACTTGAGGGCACCATGGCTGTTACATTAAGGGTATTCTTGATATGTCCTTTTAGCACTAGATGAAAGACTTACCATTAAATTGCAAATGACCCCAAACTTGTGTTAATAATGAGCTCGAGCATTAAAGGAAAATAGATTAGGGACAACATACTGATACATTTAAAGGTCAGTGGAAAGTCAGGCACAATGCATGAAGGCCAATATTTCCTGGACAGGTTTATCTGCTTACAGTTTATAGCGTATGCTGTGTAACTATTGCACTTTTTTCTCCATTTGCTGCCACTGATAAGAAGGCTGGACGGATAGATACATGAGGTCTAACCGGGTCTAACACACAGACGCGAATCACCATCAAAAACACTGTCTGTGCAAGGTGATATTTCACCTTGCACAGACAGTGTCTATCACATAAGTTAATGTTATCGTGCTGAAACATGTAGCAATGCGATTCAAACTATAGTTAATAAAGTAGATATTTGAGCACAGTTTTGAAATACTTTATATGACACATATTATTTGTTTTTAGTGAACTTATTACCTCAAAGTATACTGTATTTGCGTGTTTAGGGTCGTTTGTTCACAAGAAACGCTTTGGAGTTATTACAACCATCCTCCCTGTTTGGAGCATTTTACGTCTGCTTTGTTGACGTCTTGCACGGACTCTTTTACGCCCTCCGCCTTCCCAGCATGCACTGCGAGGTCTGCAGTATATTAATGACAAAGAAAAAAGGGCTGAAGAGAAACAACAACAGGGTGGGATCTGAGGCTCAAACCCTGGCGATAGCACTGACATTACAAGAACCTCTGTGCTGACAACAAGGTAAAGTCTTCCTCTCATTTCTGTCTTGAAACGACACGACTCAGTGTTTTATTTGATGTAATGACTCTGCGTCTAGACAACGTTAAGTGGCTGTCAGCTAACATCTGGGTTTTTTCCTAGCAGGCTAACGCTAGCTAATGTTAACGCTACTATACATCGTTAGCTTATTACCTATGTGTTATAACAGTGTCAACGCTAGTTAGCTGTCAAACTGTAGGGTTTATTTATGGAGTCCAAATATAACTGTTGACAATATATAAAGAATATAAGGACCTCATTGTGTGTTCACCTATTACACTGCAGTTTAAAGTTAGCTATACATTTTAAGCTCATAACAACGAATACAAATATGGCAGGATAACTTAGTCTTAGAAAAAAAACAGGTATATTTAAATACAACTTGAATTAAACCTCATTCCTGCATATTTTGTGTTTTGTACGTCTGCATTGAGCCCATAACGTATTGCGATATCATGAGTAAGGTTCCTTGAGCTCTACCATGTAAACACACCACGTCACGTGACCTGCCACATGGGGTTTACCTAGAACTGTTTACCTTGTTAAACTACAGTTATTTGAACTTGAAAGTTATATAACATAATCCAAATAATCTAGCTAAAACATTTAGTAAACTCCAATAATTCAGTTTAAATAAATATATGTTGCCAATTACATTTACAGTTTTGAAGATGAGTCCCTATCATTATAACAAATTCAGTAGTCATGCTGCCAATAAGTAACACAACTTTGCAGTATTGAATAATGACATTTGTGGGTTTTTTCTGTCATCATAACATACTTTGTGATCATCATTACATCTTGTTATTAGATTTTTATTCTGAAATATCGATGTACGTATTGGCCTCAAAACACGTACAAGTTGGTCTGTAGTTGACTCCTTGGAAGTGCATTATATGACTATTATTTTATTTGTCACCTGCAAAACATAAAGGCGCAAATAAGCTACAAACAACAGCTGGTGGATGCATTCATTGAATAACAGTGTTTCCCCATCAAATGAAGCGGAAGTCAAACACATGTGTCTCTTCACAGTGCTACGTCATGTGCCTGAGGCGATGAGAGTGGAAAGCGCCACCTGAAAGGATTTTACACAGCTTGAAAGTTTGTGGAGAGAGGGGTGGGGGGGCCCAGGCAGACCGTGGACGGGGAAGGGGAAGAGCTCAGCGGGGGCCAATGCAGCAGCAGCACCGACAGCCTGAGCTGGTGGAAGGAAGCCTTCCCGTGTTCGTGTTCCCCACTGAGCTCATCTTCTACGCAGATGACCAGACGTCTCACAAGCAGGTGCTCACCCTCTACAACCCCTATGAGTTCGCGCTCAAATTTAAAGGTGAGCGAAACACAATCCATGTGGGCTCTCCATGTATGCTGGACTATGTTTGATATACAGACAAGGTGGATCATCTGTGTATTTTCTTCTTTTTATCAGTGCTGTGCACAGCGCCAAACAAATACACTGTGGTGGATTCCACCGGAGCTGTCAGGCCACAGTGTTGTGTGGACATGTGAGTTCATTTTTTTGAGCACAAAAATGTCTATCTTTCATGAATATGCAAATGAATTCAATTCTATTTAGTCACAAACTGATTCAAAATACAACCATAAGATATCATGAAGATATGTGAAATGGGACACCATTATAAGAATATCTAAAGCTTAGCTAAGCAGATAGTATTTATGATGATATATATTACTACACATCTATAACTGGAGGGACTTCATGTACCATCCGCTCCAGGACACCCTGTCCTCACTGTGCAGCTCCTTCAGCGACAGGCTGCTGCACCCCCGCTGTCTCATGGAGAGATACCGCAGGTCCTTCCTTCCTGCAGCGGTCAGACTATACAACCAGCACAGCCCCTAGAAGACCCCCACACACACACACAGACTATAACACCCCTTGCTGTTAAATACCAACCAACTATGTGCAATATATATATATATATATATATATATATATATATGCCGTTAATAACTGTGTAATATACACCTGGCTGCTAAATCCTAAGAACTGTCACACTATGTGTATTTTGAAAATGATGTAACTTTTTTTATTTGTTATCATAACTTAGTACTTTAATGAATGTAACATATGTAACATTAAGCTGTCATCTGGCTCTTTTTCTCCTGTAACTATGTCAATGTCCCCTCTGTGGGACTAATAAAGGTATTCTGATTCTGAAACAATTACAAGCTAAAAAAACAAATACCCGACTCCCGACCACTAAATGGTCCCAAATCATTAATTGAATCAGTTGGTTTGAAATAGCTAAGATATAATAAACACGGACAAATTACGAGAGGAAATATTGGTACAAATGAAATGCACCTCTCTAAAAGGAATGTCATCTATGAGCTGGTTTTTCCGTGTTGATTACTATCCGTGTTTTCATGTTTTCTGTCCACACAGAGTAATCCGACACAGAGATGTGCGTCCATGCCATTACGGCGTGTACGACAAGTTCCGGCTGCAGGTTTCGGAGCAGAGTCAGCGGAAAGCCCTGGGTCGCAAAGAGGTGACGGCCACGCTGCGTCCCTCCGCCTCTCAGGAGCCGCCCAGCCCCCGGCCCCAAGATGACGAACGCAGGATCAAAGAACTGGCAGACAGCGAGTTCTTTGAACAGACTGTTTTACATACAGGTAGGACTGAGAGCTGTTACTGTGATTTCACCACTAGATGGAGCCAAATGCCTTCAACTCAAACTCAAATACATTATCACCATTCACTGGACATTAAACGTTACATGTTTCATCTACAATTTTAAAACCGCTATTGGTCTCGTTAACAAAATAAGACAATAATGGCAAACAGTCTGCAATCATTTTCACATTGGGTCTAGCTCATAGGTCTAGCTATGTTACTTTCAAGTCAAATGATGGCATGAATGCACGAAGTACAACACCTTTTTAATCTACAAACTTTTTAGTTAAATCCATCTCATGAATGAATTGTCTAAATGTTCCTTTAACCATTCTGCGTAAGTGATGCATCTCATCGCAGTGTTTACGTATGTGTACATGCACTTCGCTCTGCATTTGCCAATCGGCAGGTACCTCTCAACAATAACATGACTGTGTGTTTGCTATCCTGGCTCCAAAATGGTGGATTAAAATCATCACTGATATCAGGGCTGCTGAGAGTATACACATCTTCTATGCAGACTCAATACCCATCTGGTTTAACTGCACATTAGCCAGTAAAACCTACTCAAAAAGAAGGTTGAGGGTTAGCACTTAGAATGGTGTTACGAGTTTGTACCTCCATGGTTTATTGCCCTTTGGATCAAAGCGATGGTTTAATCAAGTGAATGTGTGTGTGTCCGACAGAGAGCCGTCCTGCTGCTGGAGGCCCCAGTCTGCTGACGGTGCTGCTGGGGCTCGTGTGTATGGTCGCCCTGATGCTCCCCACCCTGGGGGAGCAAGAATCTACTGTGCCTCTCTACCTCCACTTAAGTGTTAACAAGAAACTTGTAGCTGCTTACGTTCTCGGTAAGCAAAATACACGCAATCAGACAGGAAATCACATTGAAGGAGTACGTGCTGGAGTAAAAGATATATCCTGCTGCTCTTTTTTTAAATGATATTTTAGGTCTTCTTACGATGGTCATCCTTCGCACATGATGCGCAGCGAGCTGAGAGGAGGGAAATGATGTAAAGACGAGAAGAAACGTCCCCACACAGGAGGCACTGCTACGCTTCAATGAGTACGGCTGACCGCAGAGGGACGCAGTACTTATTCACCCCGGCCCCTGAAAAATCATTTTTTTAGTATACTCGTTTTTAAAAGCCGCTTATTTGTGTTAATACATAAACTGACGCTGAGCTGCGGAGACCCTCGGTGAAAGGAGGGCCCGTGAAGAAACATGAGGGCCATTCAAAGTGTTTGACCTCATATTCCGTGTTTGTATTGCCATTATGTAACAGAGTATGGTTAACTGTGTGAAGGACTCTACATGCAGACATGTATATAAAGCCATTAAAATGTTGTTATGGTATTTTTCTGTAACCATCATTATATGGATGTTTTAAAGCTTCTTTTTTTTTTATGTAGACTAAATGCAGTTATTTGCATGTGTTGATACTTGATTCAGATGAGTTGTTTATTTTATTTCTAGCAGATACTTTTACATGTAAACAAAAGGAACTTCTTTTGAAGGCAGTGGCTTGTCTCAATACATCAGTGGTCCAAACATGAAATAAAGTCTCAGTCCAGCTGTCCGGTATAACACTAGGTTATTGGGCGTGGAGCCCGACACTTGATAACGATGCCTCAGTTTTCTATTGATCATGGTTTCTGATCTCCCTTTGGTATTTTATCAGGTTTAAACATTTGATTTGCTTGCATACCATTTGGTTCCAGGCTAGTAAATAAGGTTTAGGGATATCCTGCTGTGGCCATGGTTACGTTTTAGTGCTCCTGACAAGAAAAACAGCTTCACAAACTCATAAAGAAATAATTTATTTATTCCTGATGTTCACTACGATTGCAATCACAAAAGACAAGCATAGGCGAGTTGTCAGCCGGCTTGGCAGATTATTACAGTTTTTCCATTGCAGTCATACAGTATCAAATTTGCTAGATTCATGCCCTTAACACTTCATAAGATGAGAAAATAAATCATCTCGACAGCAGGGCAAGCAGACTGCTTTTTCTTTTTCGTACAAAGAAAAAAAGAAAATTAAACCAAACGTATCTTTAAATTAAAAAAAGGGGCACACTTCCATAATATGATTTACAATCACTTCCTTTTGTACATACACAGGGGATAAGGACACTGGAATCGGGACATTTGAAAGCAGTACAGTATACTGTTTTCTTGGATATTTTTCTTATAAGAAAGTTTGACGTCTATCCCGCTCACACACACACACACACACACACACACACTGACAGGATGGGGCATTCTGCTCAAAAAGTGATTTTAACAAATTTAACCACAGCAGGAACAGCAGTCACCATGTGACGGTGTGATGTTTACTTTTGATGGGAATATGAAACCTCACAAAATTCATAGACAGAAATATTTCCCCAGCAGAACATCTCTACACTCTGCTTATATACAGACATCCTGACAAAAACACAGGAACCCTTAGTGTTGCACACAAAGACGCAGCAAGTCTTGGGATTGGGTCATATATATAAAAACACTACGGTTCATAGCTCGTATGATACATCTGCTGAAAACACAACTCTTCCAGAGGAAATCTCCGTAGGTGTACCCCAGGAGTAGTTTAAGTTCCTTTACAAAGAACTCTTTGCTGCTGAAGACCTGTGCCCACATTCACCTCACAGCCAAACTTAAAACTACATCTGACGGGATATTATGTACATAATTACAAGCCAAAGCAGGGAAACAATAAGTTAAATATTTTTCATACAAAATAACAGGACTGTACATACAAAAAAAAGAAGAAGCCTGCTGACAGAGGGTTTCCAGCACGAAAAGGGGAAATGTACACATCCAAATAGTCATTCTCTTTAGTCCAGTGCTCGAGCATTAGTAATGAACACACTCACTATGAAGCCGAGCACCATCCATATCCTCTACTAGCAGCTGGTGCTCCAGTTTCTTCAGACGTTTTCTTAGTTTCACACTAAAAAAAACTCATCCATGGCTTTTTGCTTCCTTAAATCAAACACACCCTCCGAACTGTAGCCATGAGAACAGCTGCTCAGAAACAAACATGGAGAAAATCCACCAAATCTAATCGATGATGAGATGGAGGGTCTGAAAAGGAGGCGTGTTCCCTGGAGAGATGCTTTTTGGCGCCAGTCTTTTAGAATATATATTTAAACTGTCTCTTCAAATCCCATGCTCACTTTGGCGACAAATCCTGGAGGGAAGCGAACGGAGAGTTGCTGGACGAGGAGGGCGACACTCCCTCCATTTTGCCCGGGGAGTCTGAGGAGGAGCCCACGCTGCTCAGGCTGCCGTCCAGCATGTCGGGACAGTGACTGGAGGAAGGAAAGTGTTTGTTAAGACTGCAGGCTGTCATATCAGAGGCTGCGGCAAACATTTGCTTTATTATAATCTATTTAAGGAGTCCCACAAAGCTATACTTTTACTAATGCCTCACCCGCTCGGTACCAGTAACTATGACCAAGTCAAATCAGGATGATGATTTAATCCCCAGGCTACAGTCATTCACTTTTTTCAGCTTTATTTGACCCCTGGTTTAAGATGGGTTATCTGTTCTTCAAGTCACAAATTCAGCAAACTTTTTGTGAGTGAAGCTGGCATATTGCAAGAGTATACTTTCACTTTGGGCCAGGAGAGCTGATGGAAATCTTACTTTTTATTTTTACATTAAACCTGCTTTAATCTAATTTAAAACATGTAGTCAAAGTCCAAAAATCAAAAGTCCTTAATTATACTATTAAAAAGCCAATTTAGTAATATGTTTTGTCCAAGCAAGTCATTAATGCCTGTATGACTGCTATTTAAAGTAGATGCATAATACACATTTTTGCCCAGTTAAAATGTTAACAGAGAGACGAAGTCCCTCCCCTCTCGGGGGACCTCCATGGGACCTTATTTCGGAAAAAGTATGTATTGAAGTCAATGGAGAGAGAAAGATTATCTTTCCATCCCGTTTGAATTGTGCCACAAATTACACATATGATGTTTGTCAATTTAAAAGATACTTTTGCCGGTCAAAAAATAAAAACGTGTCGTAAAACTGAACTTTTTTTTTTGTGTGAAGCGCTCAATGAACTACATCTCTGGTCTTGCACACGTCACCAACACCAAGACGGCCGTCACGTTAGCACATTTCACCTCTTTCTTTCAGAATGAAGCGAAAAGTATTAAAAGAGGTGAAAATCACTACAAGTCTGGGCATGTTGAGAACTGTACATACACACAAGGGGAGTTAGTCGGTTCCGTAAGAGCCAGCATGCGGGACCGGCTTTACAAGGTTTCGGTGAGTAACACGAGTGTAATGTGTAACGTTAATGACATCAATTACGCGACTCGCATTTGTAGTCTTTCTAGTTGCGTATTTTTCATAGTCTTATATTTCAACAGTTTTACGACAAAATGTGACTTTTTTTTACATGGAAATGATTTTTTAAGATTGACAAACATCATATGTGTAATTCATGGCACAATTCAAACGGGATCGAAAGATAATCTCTCTCTCCATTGACTTCAATACATAAGTGAGACTTCGCCTCTCTATAATGATAGTGTATTGCTCAACTATTAGAACCACAGAATGTAGCAAATGAACATCTAAGAAAGTTTACCCACCATTTAGTTTTTTTACAGATGATCAACCACGCGTAACATTTCTTCCCTTTGCTTCATTTACCTAAACATCAATATGTTGGCTGAATCCTCATCTACACAGTGAGCTTTTTAAAACACCTTTCTATGACACCTGTTGGTGATCCACAATGTCTTACCAGGAGCTGAGCTCGGACAGGTTGGAGACCTCTGAGGACAGCATGGTGGTGGTGCCCTGGAAGAGCCTCTTAGGCTGACTCTCCGTCTCCATCTCACCTGCAGAGCAAAGGGACGCTGACGTTTAGGAATCTAGAGACACAGACTGTGCTTGCTCTAAAAAAGAGAACTTAACTGCAATCATAATCAGACACAGGAAAAATAATAATAACGCTCAGTTAAATTACCCGAAAGTCAGTGCAGTCTCTAGTAGTTTCATTTTATAATAATTAACATGCTGGATGTCATTTTTTTGGCTGAGAAACAAAGATGTTTGCTACCCTCACCTTTGCGTTTCATTGGTCCAAGTATGCTGGCTCTGATGCAGTTGATCGGACTTTGACTCCGTCGACTGAGAATCACAAAAAATACTTTTTCAACCAAGAATCTTTTGAAATAGAGGCAGAATCAGTGGCAATACAAATGCATCTGTACTGTAACTGTAATTCAGATCAAATGGTTATAGTTTACTCAGACACATCTTAAAAGTTGTTAAGTTAATAGGAACAGTCGTTTTTTCTACCAAGACTTGCAAAAGGAACCTCATTTTTGCCCCCGGGGAGAATTACAGGAGTCAGGTAGTGCTGGAGTAGTCTTGCTGTTCGCTGAGATACGAATCAAAAACCTCTTTATCAAAAGACTCAAAGACTTGTTGCTCACCTGAAGCGTCGCGTTGGGCTCGGTACGGGGCTGGGCGTCAGGCCATTGCTGCTCACAAGGATTTGTAGTGAAGGAGAGAAACACTGCTGCTTGGACGAAGGCAACATAGAAGACGGACAAGAGACAAGATAAAAACAGATTAACGGCCTGATCATTGGTCCTACTGTGTGTGTACATTTAGTAAAGTTATGTGTGAAATTAAGGTCAAAATTAACTAAGTAAATCAAGATAACCTTTTGATTAAATCAAGCATGTATAACCATTTCCACCAAAACAATTATGCAGCAAAAACATAATGTATTGGATACAAATAAGCATTTCTAGAACACAAATAACATATGTGGTTTACAATAAAGAAGAGGCCTTTTTAAGCTAACTGAACAGAAACAAAAAAATCTCTCCTGGAAGACGGTTTTTTTCAGCTAAATAAATTGCATCCTGCCACACAGATTTCCATTCAATAATCTGATTGCGAGCTGTTAGTAAAATCAGGTTACAGCAAACCACTGAAATGCTCTAACTGCTCCCTTCATCTGGCTGTTCACTGTATAGTCAGGTGACGTGCATGTCAACATACAGGAGGTCAGACGTACCTTCTTTCCTATCCCTCTGGTCGGGGACGGAGCGGGGGACACAGGCACAAAGTCGACGCGCTTAGGAGACGAAGACGCTGACTTCTCCAAATCGTTGTCACTCTAAGAAAACCGGATTATAAAAACACATTGGTGGCCATGTCATCTTACATCACATCTTTACAGCACTATGTAGAGAAGCTCTAAAATAAGTGTGGGAGTATTATACTACCGACTCAGTCTGACCTTGAAAGACTGGTGGCCCTGATAACTCCCTTGTTTTCACCGTTAATCTAGCATGTTTGTACGTGTCCACTCTACGGAGATAGAGAGGCCAGAACTGGCCCAGGGCCAAAACATGCAGTGGGAAGGCAAAACAGAGCCCACTTCCAAGGATTCAAAGCAAACAGAACATATCTCATAACACTCGAGAAGCTGTAATGAAGTCTTTCTTTACCAGACTGAGGCTTTCTTCCCAGGATTGGCTGATTTGCATGGCGGCTTGAACCTCCCTGTGTGTACAAAAACAGAAGATGAGGAATACATTGAAACATGTTGGTTTAAACTACAACAAAGCAATAATTCAAACAACTCTCTTTATCCTCAAATTATTACAGCTTACCGCTCATGTGCAGTTTCTCTGTTCATCACATCTATGCCTTCCTCCTTCAAAAAGGTACAAGGTGATAATGATTAGAAAGTATTTTTCTGAATTATACACGCAACAACTAGACATTGTGCATTTGGTCCAACTCTGGATCAACCTTAATCTCATTTTAAAATCTCAACTTTTTTTTGTAATAAAAAATACATAAATGTAGCCAATGGATTTCATTAAATTGTTTATTTTCTTTGTTGGAGTCCTATACTACCAAAGGATCATCTCTTTAAGATCGATGGCCCTGTGGACTCCAATATATTGACTCTAGCATGTTTTTTAGACACCATCAATCCCTATGGCTTGAGAGGGAGACAGTGGTCTGACATGCCCTTTCCCCCCCCCCCAATATGAAAAAAACAGTTAGTGTTCTTCAGTGACGTGCGGTGAGGTTCATGGCTGGTGAGGCACTGACTCTTTCAGAGTCAGATTTACAAATATTATATTCTGACCTTAATCGAAATATTCGGTTATTTTCAAAACTTTTTTAGTCTGATGCTTCGATTCATTTTAAACAGACCGTTCAACAAAAGGATAGCCACAATCTAAATATAGGATTGTTCTTTCTTAGTAAGATCCCATTTTCATTACAATTGGGGTCTTACCTTGACTTGAAGATGAAGTCCATGCTTTCCTTCTGGACAACAATTCAATTCAAAACCTTTAAAAAACAATCTCAATTACTTTTTTGTAAAAGTCCTCCTTATCTTCCTCTAGTTTCAAAAGTCTAGTTTGTTGTTTGCGTCTACCGTCTCTGTGTAGAATAACAGTAGCAACAAGAAACTGTGGGCTCACTTGCGCCCCCTTCAGTGCGGCAGAGGTTAAGGCTGCCTCCCCTGGTGCTTTTTTCATTGCTGTTGTACGGCGAGCCTAAATATCATATATACGTGAAATAAGTTATTTAGAGACTATGGATGGCGAGGATAAATGTAATAAAGGGATCTACAAACATTACATTGGTGACCTACAGTGAGATGGTGCAGGCATGCGCTTAGGGCCCGCTTTCCAGCCAGTTTCTGTGAGGTGACGCATTCTGAGGTGAGGCAGAGCTCATCTGTGCCTCACCTCACCCCACAGTAACTGGCTTGAGCGCGCTCACAAAATAAGTGCCCGCGCTAAATTAGTGCCCGCGCACGTCCCTGCCTCACTTCTCATCGCTACCCGTAGTTGTAGCGGAGCTCGGCACATTTGCTGATTTTGACTATAAAAAGCGATTGGAATCAAACATAAATCACATTTACAACACAGATCAGTGGAGACATTTTATTATTATTACTATTTAGTTTTTCTTTAGTTGTTTTCCCGTTACATTATAGTATGACCAGTCTATGAGTATGACAGGTGAGGCTCTGCCTCCCCTGCCTGCACGTCGCTGGTGTTCTTACTTGTTTTATCTGGTGAAGTCTGGTGCTGGGGACCCGAATAGGCGATGAAGGGACCTGCAAAGAAGGATGCATGTGAAGAAGAGAACATTGACTACACAATAATTGAGACACAAATAACTTTGGTGAAACTGTGTTTAATATTTTAGATGTATTGTACCATGTTGGGCCTGTTGACCACTGTAGTGCTATTTCTCCGGCTGCGCAGGACCTCTCTCTGGAACACTTGGGAGTTATCACTGAAATGACAAATTCACAGAACAACCATGTGTCATGTCTGTACTTCCCATGAGGTCACTCAAATGTAGTTACTACAATGGGGATAAAGACATTCACTGACATATTTTAAAGTAAAGTAGTGCAACTATGTAATGTTGTAGAAACCTTAAGACATTTATCATGGGTGCACTGTTGGATCGTCTCAAGTGCCCCTCGGTCTGAGCTAACGACGATGTGATTTCCAGATCCAGCTCCATCTTCTCTTGTGCCAGGACTCCTGAATTGTTCATTTTGCTAGCTACCGTTGCCCGCCACCAATTCATGAACTTAAAATGGCTAACAAGCTCAGTGGCGTTACATGGTTGCTTTCCAAACTTCTTTTTTTTTTACCTTTACGTGTTTTTAGGAAACATAATCTTTAAGGCTAAATGAGCTGACGAGACAAACTAAAGTAAATATGTAGTTACACCACTGTAATCGGCAAGGCCCTGTAGTCTGTATAACTCCGTTGTTAAACAAATTAACCCTGGCTAATTATCCTAACAACTCTATCTCAACAATCCTATAAATCACAACTATATAGTCAGTCAAAACTGGCCTGTGCTAACGTTGGCTGTAACGTTATGGCCAGTCACCAACTTTCCTGATCGATGGTTAGCATGCCATGGTTACATACCGCACAATGCCCAGTAACTGCTAGCTGCCGACCCGTTGCTCTGCTGGTGCAGGGCGGCCGTGGTTGTCGACTGAAACGCTGCTATGCTAACTTAGCACTGCATGTTAGCGCGTTCAATTAGCTACCATTAGCCAAACCGTACAGCAGCTTACTTGGGAGTGCAACAAATGCCTCTAACGTTTATGACGTTAATTCAACGAGTTGCTGTTAAATACTGAACGAGTTAAAGAGTTTAACGTTTCTTCTCAGTAATATGAGCCAGTGTTATGCTACGCTCCTCGCTAACTAGTTTCGGCAACAGCTTTAAGCCCAGCTACCTAGCATGCTAGGCTATCTAGCCACGTTCGCATTAACGCCGATACCCACAACACCATGTCCACAGTGAGGCCTTTATCAACATCGCACTAACTAACTGTTTCTGCCCCTCAGCCTGATAGCTTCTCCGGCTCGAAGAAGCACATTAAACCATGGCGTCTGCACATGTAACTGGCTCTATAACTTTGTTTTTCGGTTCTGCAGGGCGCCTCCAGGAATGAAGCAGAAGATCCCAGATGATCACACAGGAGCTAGGTTAGCTGCTAGCAGCAAACTTCACGCCCCTTTTAACGTTAGCAGCCCTGTCCAATGAAACCGCTGCATTTGCCGGTATGCTCAGGCGGGATATGGTGACCTGCATCATATGGAACTCTTACATGATAAACTCCAGCTGCATTATCAGAAGTTACATTTTCATTTAATCTGAGTTCCATGATACATTTAGCTGCATCAAAAATGGCAGTTTGAGTTTCACGTGAAACATTTGCTTGCAAGGATAGGAGGCCATGTGCTTTTAACAAAGTGATGGAGGTATGAATGGTCTTGCAGATGTAGTGTTTTGATGGGTAATTTTGGGTAATAACAGCAGCAAATCACACCACTTGTCATACGACCAGCTTATTAAATAATTACTATAATGCCAATTTAGGAAGTAGTCTTCAAGCTGCCCCCCTTAATCTATAATCGTTTAGAATGTCTCAACTGACAATTCCAGTGTTATCAATAAACGTGTGAGAACCATATACTTTACAATGAGCCTTTGTAAAATACCTTTAGCCGGTATTATTTAGTCCACGGTCAGCACTTTCTTCCTAAAATTCTGGCAGCACTGATAGCTTCCAGACATAGGGAATACTAATGTATTACTTTTTTGGGAGAAATTCATTTATCTTACCTGTATTATCTTTCCATTAACCAGTATTTTCACAATCAATTAGCCAGAAATTATTTTCTAAACAGAGAATTTGGTGTTATATTGTAAACACACTTTGTAGTAAAATGTAATTCAATCACGGGAGGGGTGAGAACATTTAATGGCTGGTATGCTGGTATGCAACATTCAGTTGACACTGGTTTACAATGATGGTACCATTGCTTGTGAACATCTTATAAAGTAGAAATGTAAAACCAAAAAACTGTCAGAAAAATACAGATTACGTGTTTCAAACATGATTGTTCCAAGTATCAGTCGAACATTTACACATTTGTAAACTGTGAATTTTTTTCCAGCAATAGAAAGATCTCTATCTGAACAATGCAGCATGCATCCAAATTAATTTTATGTGACAAAAATGATAAATATATATCATTAACACTCATAAATCAAGAAGATATTACATCTTCAGCATATCCAAGTGTTTATTCGGGACAGCAGCCAACATTTGTGTTACTTTTCTGCAATTACCTAAATCTTATCACACACACACCACAGTAACATAAAGATGTAAGTTGTCCCACTTTACATAAAATGTGAGATCCTCCTAATGACTGCCAATAAAATGTTTTTGATAGTTCAAGGTAAAAGAAGAATTACATTAAAAGCTATATTAATTTTCATAGGAGGTTGTCAAATGTTGTATATCTTGATATGGCACAACACTTGGTATTTTGTACTTAAAGCTAGCAGCATTGCTCAAAATAAATTACAATTGATTTAACAAAATAATGAAATCAGTGTGGGGGCATAAGGGCATTATTCTAATTTCAATGATGCTGGGCTCCATGCCGTTTGACCCAGACATTGCTCTATCTAAAAGGAAAAAGATTATCTCTAAAGTTGCGTCAAATGTGCGTGTGTGTGTGTGGTGACTATAACAGGCCATGCTTCTCTCAGGATTATCACTTTAGCAGTGTATCCTCAGGGACCCTGAGCAGGCTGAATATATTTTATGACACAAATATGAAGAATTCAAATATAAAATGGACAGCAAAAGGATAAGATATAACCATACATTTAAAATTGTGACGAAGTGCTCTTCATGCCTTGTACTTCTCCTTCCCTGATTCACTAATGACGCAGATATGCTGAAACAGAAAAAAGGATTGATTAGTGTTGCAGCAATTTATTGATGCACATGTTTGTTATCCCGGTCTGACCTTGCATCAATAACACCCGGTACATAGCTGTAGTCCTAACGAATGGATTAAGATCCAGTACTTTCCCAACACATAGATGTACCAGGCAGGGCTACTATCTCCTCTCGTCTTTGTGTTAGCCATTGAGCCGCTGGCTTGCAGTTTGGAGAGACATTTCATAAATTAAGTCTGTAGCCGAACAATAGTTTTTTCATCCCAGCCTGAGATATCAGTCCCTAATTGAAAGGCTAAGATCCACTTAAGTAAATCTGAAGCTATGCCTCTGGGTAGTCTTATGGCGCTTTTCCACTGCAGCACGTAGCACGGTTTAAGCGGGCCGTACCAAACCCGGCCCGCTTTTTTTTGCATTTCTACTGGGGGTAATTCCGGCTCAGGGCTACTTTTTCACCTTTTTTCTGGCCCTCCAAAATCGAGGTTCTTACCGGACCAACAACCGGGCTGAATATGCTAAACTAGTGACGTAAACACTCTCGACTGCTGATTGGTCAGATCAAACCCAGCCCGCTTAAACAGTGCTCACAAGTATTCTACATGCCAAATCTGTCCAGTTCTATCAAATCTGGCAGCCTTACTTACATTTCCTCAGCGACTATTGTTAAAGAAACCTCCTGAAGACCTGTAATCATAAGCCATGACAAACATTT